TAGTGGTGTTACGCGCTAGCTCTCTTTCACTCTACTTTTAATATTTACTATATTTATTAGCCAGCAACCCTTATTGGCGGCCAGATTTAATTAAGCAACCGTATATAATAATATACAGAAAAAAAATTGCTTTAATTTGATATATAAATTATAAATGTACGTTGTGGGTGTATAAATGTAACAAATTCATACCTGTGTATACCTGGCTGCGAAGAGGTGCGGCCAGGTGCGCAACGGCAACCATAATTTTTCAGAGTCTTTATAGATGTTGCCGTAAAGTAGACGACATTTCATTGAAAAAAAAAGTCAATGAAATTTCTTACGGATTATGAATTATTAATAATTTAATTAAAAACACTAGCGGCCACATTTTGATAGGCAACCTGGTGGATATAAATTCTCCTAATCATGAATATGTGTAAAAATTTGGTTTTCAGCAAACACTCGATGGGTACACTGATTCTGCAGCCGGATCTCGTACTACAACCTGATTTGTATGAAGAGGATAGCGCTTCTAACGTGCAGGTTAGTGATAATATTCCGGATGCTAAAAACGAAGACCATAATGATGCCGACATCCCTACTACATCTCAAAACAAACCAATTATTCAGTCACAAAAACGTCGTGCTAAAGATCCACCCGAAATGCAAGAAGCCAATAAAAAAATGAGTACTGCTTTTACAGCATTAAATAAAGCATTGGCTAACAAAGAAAACATAAAAGAAGAAGACGAATGCGATTTATTTTGTAAAATGTTGGCAAAACAAATAAGGGAGTATCCAAAACTTGAAAGGGAAGAAATAATGTACGAGCTTCATGGTGTTATGATGAACAGACGTCGTCGTTACAACACGATGCAGGGTAGATCATATGCTGTTTCTTCTCCTTCACAAATAATCCTCAGTCGACCTAGCACGAGCAACAGCATGTATCTATCAACACCGTCACCTGTATACGTAGTAGACTCCCCCCATTCAGTTCAGTCACCACCACAAAATATGGCCAATCAACAAACCGAAATGGTTAACATTATTTCACAAGAAGTACTTGTACCACAAACAAGTAAAATGTATTACGAAAGCTGTTTAAATATGACGGACGATAATAACACCGATCACCCTTAATTTGTCAAAGCAAACTGAAAGTACCTACTTACCTATTTGTCAAAGCAAAGTTTTTTGTAAACTGTTGATTATTCATTACAATACAATTAATAATAAAGATTTTGGATTAAATTATGTGGTTTACCTTCACTAAATCCTTTAACACGTTATTGAGCGCTAAACATACTTCAGGAACAATAATGGATATAACTTGGCTTGAAATTTTAAACAGGTAATGCAAGCTTCTATAGCTATCACCAGTAGCTAAATATCTTAATGTTACTGCCAAACGCACTTTCACTGGAATGGCATCCCTCCAATCTGTATCTTTTTTAGCAATCGTTGGAGATATCATTTGTAGTAAATATTCAAAATCGCTGCTAGACATTCGAACAAAATTATAAAATTCTCCAGAGGGCTCTGCATATAGTTCTGCAAACTGGTTTTCCATGCTATTCCTGCGAAGAAACAGAGTAATGTAAGAAGTCGTTACCTACGTTAAAAAAAACTTTTTAGAAAAGAGAACCGACTTCAAAAACACTAACCCGTAAGAATATCCAAGTATATTGCCGAAGGTCATCATTAAACTAAGAAGTATTATATACTATAACCTCTACCTAAATGTAACAAATCCTTTTATGAAAACCGCAAACATACATACATACAAACATACAGGTCAAACTGAGAACCTTCTTTTTTTGAAGTCGATTAAAAAGCGTACAAGTTATATTATGAATAAAAAAATCCCACTTACTTTGTTCGGTTTCTATGTATAGTCAGCATCCACCACCTTCTTCTTCTCCATTTTTTTTAATAACTCTATTGCGATAGACGCTTAAATAATACTTGTAGGTACTAAATAAATAAATAGCTGCGGCAGCAACGGTCTCTATATCCATTCTGCGTGCGTACGTGTTGCATCTGACGAGAACCAACATAGACTGAACGACCTGGCGACGTGTGGACGGCTCGTAGAGATTCATCTGCGGATGCGTCTGCGGACGTCTGCAGACAAATCTGTCTACGTGTAGAGGAGGCATGAGACGTACAACGTACGTGCGCGGGCGGCCGAGTGAGCGGGAAAGTGGGAGTAGCAGGCAGGGAGCGCGGGCGGGGTACTGTTATGTGGGATCTTGGAGACAAAAACTATTATTTCGATTATTGGAATTTTAATAAAAAATAAAATAAAATACAGAGTTAGAAATAGAAAGTGTCCACATCAAAAACGCTTAAACCGAACTAATTCATACATCGCCGGAAATGCTTACGAGGATTTTCAATTGACGTCAATGCATTAAGTAAAACGAAGTAAACAACTGAAGCTGGCTCAGCGGTTTACTTAGCCTTGGTATAGCAACGTGATGCTGATATAACAGCCCCCCCCGATAAGACTGATCATCACAGATGAAGTGATGAGAAAGATACAAAACTAAGATTTTGATATGGACATTACAATAAAAAATCAAGAAACTAATAGGTATAGAAATTAAAACTAAACAGTTTACATAACTTACATTTAATACTAAATTAATAAAATAATATAAACTTTATGCCTGTGCTCTCCAAAAGTGAGGCAGATATAGAATTTAAACTAATAATAAGTAAACAGTATATATATATTTCATATTCTTTTCTTTTAGGAATATGTCTACCAAGTATGTATTAAAATAAATAAAAAAAAATAAACATTAGCAACACACAACAAAAAATAGTAGTTATTACTACTTCATAATGTTTCGTTTAATCGGAACTGGTAAAGACTTGGCTGAGACATTATCAATTTCAACTTCTGAAGAGTCTGAATTATAAGCAACATTTACAACATGATTGTTTGAGCCTTTTGACTTACTGTAATTTCTATTGTAAATTTTGATACAACAACCTGGACTTCTAGAACATAGATATTTTCTAATTTTAAACAAAAAGTATATTACACAAAAAAATAAAATAATATAGATCAATGAAAGATAATGCATACTGTACATTTCTAAATGAGAAGGCTCTCCAATATCGTCTAGTTGTTTTTCGAAATCGGTTAAATGTGTACTTGCTTTTAACAAGGACTCAAAACTATTAAATTCGTTTAATTTAGTAAGGGGGACAACATGTAAAGTTTTATTGGACTTTAAACTATTACAACAATCATCAGTTAATATGTTAAAATCAGATACAACAGTTGTAAAGTTAGATGTAATACTATCAGTTGGAACAAATGTTAAAGTTTTATAAAATGCTTTACAAGATTTGGGAAGATGTAAAATTCCAGTACCTGACAAGACTTCAACGTGATCTTTCATGTCGCCATCACACATTATATGGCCTTTACTCGGTTCTGATTGAACAAAAATCCAACGGTTATTAGAAATTTTATGAAACAATTCGATAGACCCGCGTAGAATTCTTGTTTGGCAGGAATTTGGTAATTTGTCGATGACATCTGTTAACAAAATCGTTTCACAGGTAGGATTTGCAATAGTTGAATAAACGTTTGTTAAAACACACACGTAACACTGATTTTTTATCACTTTGCACTCACTAACACTTTCAAATTGTGAGTAAAATAGACGGTCTGCTGTTATTGCCAGATATTGTTTACTTGGAGCAATTAAGACATAAGTATCAGGAGTTTTATTATCTAGGGAAATAGGTAAAGGTATATTTTGAAATAGATTGTAAATTTGTGAAAGAACTAGCGGTATCTTTAAGATAAGAATTAACTTGTTATCATGATAGTAACATACGATGTCGGATATATTTATTATTTTACTAATGTTTTGTAGAGATAATAGAATGGGCAACTCAGCATGTCGGGGCAGCTGATTGTAATGTAACTCGAGCTCCTTATACAATTGCATGGGACTTAGTACAGTCGGGTGCAATACATTTATTTTACTAACAATAGGGTAACGGGGACGAGCAGCATCTCGGTCGAATGTAGAGAACCAGTGGGTGCTGACCTTTCTTAGGCCAACCACAGCGCCGTCTCAGTCAAAGCGAAACAGCTTACAGCGTAGCGTCGATGGAGCAGGGCACAGCGCAGCGCCGTCGGAACAGGGCACTGTGTTGATGGAGTAGGGCACAGCGCAGCGCCGTCGGAACAGGGCACTGTGTTGATGGAGTAGAACACAGCGTAGCGCCGTCGGAACAGGGCACAGTGTTGGAATCAATACGAAGCAGGAACTTGTAGCAGTTTGAACAGCGTGACAGGAATAGCAAAGTTCGTGATTGCACTGATGAACACAGTCAATGTTTATTTTCACTCACAGTTTTTGATCAGTAAGATGCAGGATTTTTATAGATACAGTGGATTTGAATTATCAGTCTTTTATAAATTTTTTAGTAATAGCACGAGCGTAATGATTTTATTGAGATTCGGTGTTGTGGACACGTATTTTACTCATTAAAATTTCCTGAAAGTCTATCAAAGAATCCCACTTCTGACACCACTGTTATGTGGGATCTTGGAGACAAAAACTATTATTTCGATTATTGGAATTTTAATAAAAAATAAAATAAAATACAGAGTTAGAAATAGAAAGTGTCCACATCAAAAACGCTTAAACCGAACTAATTCATACATCGCCGGAAATGCTTACGAGGATTTTCAATTGACGTCAATGCATTAAGTAAAACGAAGTAAACAACTGAAGCTGGCTCAGCGGTTTACTTAGCCTTGGTATAGCAACGTGATGCTGATATAACAGTACAACAGTACATGCGTACGCAGAACGATCATTAGATCCAAAACAATAGCTGAATTCTGTTAGCGCTTCGTAATAATTGCACACAAACAAGAGTATTTTATGTTTTGTTCATTAATATTTCTATCACAGATTGTTTTCGATACTTTCTCTTATTAAAAGTACCTACCTCTAGTGTTGTAGCGTGTGGTCATAATGGAACAAGAAGAATCACAGTCGAAGAAAAAAAAGAAGTACGAATGTTATTTTCAACAAGTGTGGCTAGAAAATGAGAAGTATAAAATGTGGGTGAGAAAAGTCGATGAAAAAAACGCGAAATGTGTATTTTGTAACGTGAAATTTACAGTGAAATGGGATGGTGAAAAGGCGTTATCGACTCATCTTAACAGTGAAACGCACAAGAAAAAGGTGAGGAACATTGACTCAAATTCTTTGATAACCGCTTTTCTGCCCAAGAATAATTCTTCTGAAGAGCTAAAAGTAGCGACAATCGAAATTGCGTCGATTTATCATGCAATTAGCCACCACCATAGTTACTTGAGCACCGATTGTGGTATTAAATTAAATGCTACTCTTTATTCCGATTCACCACTATCACATAAAGTTTACTGCGGCAGAACAAAAGCTGTAACCATTGTTTTGAATGTCCTAGCACCGAATTCAATCCAGTCAACAATACAAGACCTAAAAAGGACTCAATCTGGAGGCGGGGTTCACTTTTCGATTGCTATCGACGCCTCAAATAAAGGATCCCAAAAAATGTATCCAATTGTCATCAGATACTTTGATCAAGAAAAAGGTGTTCAGAATAAATTAATGGATTTTTATGAGGATTCGAACGAAACATCTCAAAAAATTTTTGAGAATATAGACAATTTTATGCTTCAGCATGACTTAGACACAACTTTGCTGTCTGCTTTCTCTGCAGATAATGCATCGGTTAATTACGGTGCTCACAATTCCGTGTACCAAAAAATTAAAGATAAATATTCCGATACCAAAGTCGTTAAAGCAAATTGTAACTGTCACGTTCTTCATAACGCCGCCACAAACGCTATGAAAGCTTTAACATATGATGTGGAAAACTTGATTATGAAAGTTTATGCGGAATTTTCGAACAGCGCAAAACGCACGAGAGAATTGCAGGCATTTTTTGAGGAGTTTGAAATTGAATACAGAAAAGTTTTGAGACATGGGCCAACTAGATGGTTAAGTTTGGGAAGAGCTGTTGACAGATTGATATTGTCATGGCCTGCTGTATCCGCGTCAAAAGTCTTGGTGAAGCAGCATGCCATAAGATAATATGGGAATTCGTAAAACAGTGTGGTGATGATGCAGGAAGTTTATCTGCAAAAATCACACTACAGGAATGTTATTTATATTTCATTCATCATTATATGAATATGCTGACAGAAGCCATACTATTACTGGAAAAAAACACAGTAACAGCTACTGAGTTGCACCCAATTATGAAAAATATAAAAGACAAGGTTGAAAGCCGACTGCATGATGAGTTTTATGGCGCCAAAGTAATGAGAAACATGAAGTTTTTGAGGCCTTCCGAACAGGATCAATTAAAAAAAGAAGCCAATGAGGTTTACAGAAGAACTCTTGAATACGTACAGAAATATTATGATTTTGAGCATTCTGTGTTCAAATTTTTTTCCAAATTCGATCTAACAAGTGCAGTAAGTTACGAAGATGCTGTGGAAGCTTGCGAATCACTTGGTCTGAAAAATGTGGACGAAGATAAACTGTATGACGAGACCCGAAAATTAAACCAAGTATTTCCTCAGTTCGAACAATCTATTGATTCAACATTATCTGTTGATTTACGATGGGTTCAGCTTTTCAAAGTCACGTCAACTTTCACCGAACCAGTGTTGCCAGATGTACGATTTAAATCGTATTCATACGATTTTTTACATTTATTTTGCATGTACGATCCAAGGTCAGAAATCGTACGACTTTTTTAGATTTCATACAACCAAAGTACTAATACCAATATAGCACGTCACTATTTATTCTTTTACTTACTAAATACCAACCCTTCACATCACTAGTTAGTTAGATTTGTCTATGGTTAGGGGACTTGCCTTAGATCCCAATGGTACACGTTACGTTACTCGGAAGTATTTCATACATTCAATATTTAGTTAAGTATTTAAAGTTAAAGTGTGAAAGTTTTTAATCATGGAGGATGAAGATTCAACATCTAATCCAGGCCCAAGTCGCCCTTGCCCTGGAACTCCAAAAAAGACTCTGGCGAGACGGAATGAGTTATCGAGGGATCAAAAAGAAAAACACAGGGCTCAGAAATACCGCGCCGATTGGGAAAATCTTGAAGTTTTCAAGCATTGGCTGAAACCCGGCAAAAGTGAATACAAAGCAAAATGTATTGTATGTGATTGTGTATTATTATCCGAGTATAGTGTATTAAAAATCCATTCCACTAGGCAAAAACACCTTAAAGCTCTGTCTAATGCTAAAATTGCAAACAAGCAACGTAACTTGATGACAAATTTTGTCACTGAAAATCCTGTTGGGAAAAATAAATTGGAATCTAAAATAGAACTAATGCTATCAGCTTATATCGCCGAACACAATATTTCTTACAATTCTATCGATCATCTGACTGATATTATCAATGATATATTGTATGCCTTTGATGTCAAACATAAAATTTCTCTGAAGAGAACGAAGGCAACTGCAGTAACAACGGAAGTCATCGGCAAAGCAGAAAAGTCAATGTTGACTAGTGTTTTGACTACACAAAAGTTCAGTACTATATGCGATGAATCAACGGATATTAGCACTCAGAAAGCTTCGTGTATAGTTGTGCGATATTTTGATAAGGACAAGAAGCAAGTCGTTAGTAAAATGTGGGAACTGTGCAAGGTATTTGACTCAGAAAACCCTGATATGGTCAACCAAGGTGCCACAGGTGAGAATTTGTACAGTTATGACTCAGTCTTTTTTGGATAAGAACATCCCGCTAGATAATATGATTGGATTTGCCGCCGACGGCTGTAATGTGATGATGGGTGAAAATAACAGTGTTGCCAGCAGGCTGAAGGAAAATTTACCAGGTATCTTCATATTAAAATGTGTATGTCACTCGGCTCACCTGTGCGCATCTGAAGCATGCAAAGAACTTCCTCGAAGATGCGAAGACTTGGCACGAGAAATTTATAATCATTTCAAACTAAGTGCAAAAAGACAATGCCAATATAAAGAATTTCAAAAGTTTCTAGATGTAGAACCACACAAAAATTCTACATCCATCTCAAACAAGATGGTTGTCCCTTATTGCCGTTGTTGAACGCATCTTGGAACAGTGGGAACCACTGAAATTATTTTTTACAAGCACGTGGTTACAAGAAAAATTAATTTCAACGGAGATAATCTTTCAAAACTTGAATGACAATTTCATGAAATTATATTACAAGTTTCTGGCGTGGATTTTGCCCAAGTTCACTGCATTTAATAAATTATTCCAGTCAGATAGTGCTGTAATAATCAATCTTAATGAGAAAGTTCGGGACATGTACTGCGATATTTTGTTATGTTTTATGGAGAGAGAATATATTAACAGAACTGAACTTTCTTCTGTTATTATAGATTACCAAGAAAAATATCTTGCCGACCGCCAAATGTATTTGGGTATAAAAGTAATGAACGATGTAACAAGTGAGGAGTTCACTAGCCACCCACAAAAGTGCACAGAGTTTTTCCACCGTTGCCGCAAGTTTTTAATAACAAGTGCTCATGAAATAAAAAAACGGTACAACTTGAATGTATGGTGACGCCGCGTCACCATACATTTTGTAGAAAATGGTAACATGTGTATGTATTATCTAGCAACTCGTGTATTAAGTGAGCGACATACAGCTGAATACATATCGGAAAACCTGCTAGAATCTAGCAGCTAGATATTTTGAAAATAATAAAAATTATGCTAAGAATAAAAAAGAAAGAGATGCTAAACACCGTAAAGAAAACTCTGATGATTCAAGCATTGAGGACGGTTATATTTCTCTTTGTGATAGTTCACCAGAAAAAGACATAGAATACGAAATTCTTGGAGATATTTGTGTAGTGTATGGGGAATATTATCACGCCACTTAAAAGAAATGCGACTGGTTATAGTGTGTTCAATGCAAAATGTGGTTTCATAAAGATTGCAGTCAAGATTCAACGGAATGCCTAACGTGTAATGTCTGATTATATATTAATTATTTGTGGGCATCTATATCTATACACCTTACCCACATGCCTGGGAGATATGCCTATTTTACATTATTTTTAAAAGTATTCTTGAAATCAAAATATGTTACACAATGGTTCCAAATTTAATCTGAATGGCATAAATAAACAGTGATTCAAATAAACTATGAATATTTCATTTAGTACCTTACTTACATAATTAATAATGCAGGAATCGCCGCAAAGGTTATATGCTACCGGGCTAAAGAAAGAAACACTTGGTCGTGTTTCCACTTCCGCCAACAAATACCCGCTAACAGGGGTCGGTTCCAGAAATATCACTACACACAGTAGGGACAGACAATTTAAATGATAACAGAATCCTGAAACTTACATATTTATAAGAAAAGCAATTAAGTTAATCAGAATACTACCTTACATCAAAAGATATATTCAGAATGCTAGAAGTCCTGGCAGTAGAACTTCCGGTATTCTAACATTAATAGAACTCAACTATGCCGAAAATATAGTGCTCAATATCTCACAACGTGCCATGTTCCCTGAGGAATATCACATGATTGAAACAGGCCAGTCTTTACATAAAAACACAGATTCAATTCATTATCTCCTTTTATTGATAACGACAAAATACTGCGCGTCGGTGGCCGCCTAGATAATTCAAATTATAAAAACAATGTCAAACATCTTATTCTAATAAGTAGTAAGCATCATCTTACCCAACTCATATTTTACAAACAGCACAGAGGTTTATTACAGGCAGGCCCACAATTGCTACTGTTACACATCAGACAATCTTACTGGCCAGTGGGGGGGAGAAACCTCGCGCGGCGTACCGTACACAGACGTGTACGTTGCTCCAGATTTAAACCTAAATCTGTTCAATCTATAATTGGGTAACTTGCCGCACGACAGGACGCATTTAGAGTTTCCATTGCTATACACAGGTATTGATTATGCTGGGCCATTTCTGATATCAGATCGAAAGGGCAGACAGAGGTAGTAGACTCACGAAATCTTATATTTGTGTTTTTGTATGTTTTGCAGTCAAAGCTTTGCACCTTGAGCTCGTCACCGATCTCACCAAAGAGGCTTTCATTGCTGCTCTTCATTGGTTTATGCCGTGTCAAGCCACAGACCATTTCATCTGACAATGCATTACCTTTGTTGGAGCTAGTAACGATATTTATTATTTTTTTAAATCTTATTCAGATAATGTTCAGTCATACATATCTAGTCGGGGTATACATTTTAAATTTTTTCCATCCTATACTTGCCTGGCACAGATAGAGGCCATCATAAACTATCGGCCCGTTACTCCTTTGTCTCTGTAGACAAGCCGCACTCAGGGTCTGTACCCTTCAGACCTAACATGTCTTACGCCATCCCACTTCCTCATTGTACGAACCCCCATGACAATACCCCATCCTCCAGTCACAGAAGTAAACATTAACCGACTGCAACGTTATGAGCGAATAGAAACACTGAAGCAACATTTTTTGGATGAGGTTTTCTTACGATTACGTTACTCTGCTGCAGCACAAAGCTCCCATCCCTCTCATCAGAGACCGGCACCAGCCTCCTCTTCTGTGGCTGCTGGGACGAGTCGTCAAGCTGCATCCTGGACCAGACAGAATAAGCAGGGTGGCGGACATCCGCACCTCCAAGGGTCCAGAGGGCATATAACAACATCTGCCCTCTGCCCATCACGGCATCACCTTGAAGCAAGCTTCAACCCCGGGAGCCTGTTACGGCCGCAGTACTTTCTCAATGCCGTGCACATCAGGCGTGCGAAATTTCGCGCAGCCGTACTGGCCAGCTGCTCCGAGAGCCCGTCGCGAGCCAGTCGTTGCCCGTTTGTTGGAGTGTGTCCACGCAAATCACACGTTACACGCGTCAGCAGCGTTTCAGAACAGCAGAAGCAAACCTAACACAGCGCTAACCACAGGCAGCCCCTTCAAGCAAGATTTATAGTCCAACATAAATACACAACGCTAACATAAATTGCAAAAAAAGTAAAGGTAATCCTGTTGATACATGTCAGAATCGTCTTATTTTATTGTGGCCTAACGGCAAAGAAATATCTCAAGCTAAGGTTGATGATTTGATGTAAATGTTAGATCTTATTCCAAGAGATTGTTATGATTTTTACAAATCATCAAATGGAAATAAAAGCGTAGTAGAAGACATAGTTGGCTATTATGGAGAACTAGATTTTGTCCCTGAATAGATTGAAGATTAACCTTTTTTGGGCTTCAGGGAAAAATTTAACCACCATGTTTGTTGAAGTAAAAAGTTCAGTGAATGTTTCCCAACGGTCTATTTTTAGTTAAGTGTCAATAATTTGACAGCCAGCCATTTGATTTTTTTTTAATTGCATTCGTAACTGAAAATTGGAGTATTTTTGAATGATGTGTGAATCTCCAGGATCTGCTATTGTCGGAAGGTATTATTTTCACTTATTCGTTTTATTTGGATTTTGTGACCATAATGTGTTGGACATTTTTCAAACTCTATGCTTCGTTCTTACCTAGTATAACTTTTTCAACACTTTTTTTACATGTTCTCTCTGCCCGTCGGGTACTTTGGTGTTATCGTAACTGATTTTTTGGTTTGATTTGTTTCTTTGATATTTCACAATGAATAATCTATCTAAAGGGGTGCTAAGATGTAGAACCGAAAATACTAAAATGTTTGTGTGGGTATTGGCATGGGTTATGAAGTTTTGCATTTTTATTGCAGATGAGTCGTAAGACATTGAAAAATTTAGAGATTGAAGAAGCTTTAGATGAAATATTTGTCTTGCCAGAAAATCCAGAAGAATCAGACGATGACAAACGAATCTGAGGGTGATGAACTAGTACAGCTAAACTCAACTCTAGAAGAAAAGATATTGCAAGGATTAGATGATGAAGTTACAATACTTACCAACCCACAATCGGCTACACTACAAGATTATATAAAAGCAAAGGCACCACTGCCCATTTTTTGTCAAAACGTAACTAATGATGCCATCTATTAGATCTTTTTGTAAACTTTAATACCATTCTGATGATTTCAAAGCAATGTTTCCACTGTCCGATAGAAAAACACGTGTCTGAGTCCGTGTACTTAATAATAGACTCCTGGCATACCTTGAAGGTAACGATCTCCTCAGCGATCGGCAATACGGGTTTCGTAACTGATCGACTGGGGACCTTCTTGCGTATGCCACTCACATATGGAGCGAGGCCATCAAGAGACACGGGGAAGCATTAGCAGTCTCCCTCGATATTTCGAAGGCCTTTGACAGGGTATGGCACGACAGTCTAATGCGCAAGCTTTCTGCATATGGACTTTCTACTGATCTGTGCAGATGGATAGCAGACTTCCTGAGGGATCGGTCAATACGAGTAGTCATCGATGGCCGCCCGTCTGACCAATTCGGTATTAATGCCGGCGTCCCTCAAGGGTCAGTACTTTCAGCGACAGCGTAATAGAAGAAAACTTAGACGGTTTAAACGGTTTTTGCAGTTGAAACCAGCAGCTAACAATGCTATATTAGCCTCAGTGTCCCATCCAATGGTTAAACTGAAATGGGTATCAAAAGCGCGAAAGGACTATGTAAAAGAACTTTTCCTGTCTGAAACAAGAAAGATCAATCGATCTGAAAACCAAAAATCAGATGCTTTAAACAACATTAAATGTGATATAAAAAACGTCAAAAGATGAATCTTATTATATGTTTCTTGAGGACTCAGATTCCTCTATTGCTAGTGGCGAAAACACAAGCAGCACCAGTGATTTAGATATTAAAGACTCTCCAGTACCTGAACAATAAAGATACAAATATTAAGAGCTTAAATGCTTACCCTGTCGCGGAGAATCTAACGGGTCGCGGAGAACCTAACGGGTTACCGGGGTTCCGGTTCGACGTGCAGGAGAAGGAACGGAGTGGTTTTTAGTCAGTAAGAGTCTGACACTCCTTCCCGCCTCACCCAGGCGGGAGAAGTCATTCGATGAATTTCCCCCCTTAAAAAATGCTTACCCTACAATAAAAAAATATTCCTGAAATATAACACCTGTTTGCCTAGCTCTGCGCCTGTGGAGCGACTATTTTCCTTTGGGGGCATGATCATGAGGCCTCATAGAAGGAAGATGAGCGACAATATGTTTGAGGAATTACTTTTACTGAAATCTCAATTAAAATATAAAGATTAAAAAATAATAAAACATATCTTCCTTTATCATAAACTTTATTGTTATAAAAAAAGTTTTCTTGAAAAATTTAACTTTGTAGTTTAATTAAATGTTGTTTTCTTACAAAAGTTTTTAATTTTTAAAAAGTATTTGAAAGATAGGTATTTTGTATCTAGTATTTCAGATACCTTTTTATTAGAAAAGTATTTGTATCTGGTATCTGAAATGCTTTTTTCAATAGTATCTTGCATCTTGTATTTCAAATACTTTAAATAGGGTATCTTATACATCACTGGCTGAAAGAAACATTCCAAATTCTGGCGCGAGGCAATAAATACAATAAAAAATATAAGATTTTTGGACTCAGCCAGTAAAAGAGCTATATAATAAAAAAGAGTACCATGTGCAAGTCCCTTCTCTTGATGGTTGGGTTATGACTCTGAAAAGCTTTGAACTTACTGTTTACTAAGTACGATTTAAAATATTTTTATCCTGGGCTTATAAATCAAGACCCTTTCGAAAACTTTTTTGGCAGGATAAGGGCAATCAATTATAGAAATGTTAACCCCGACTCTTATACATTTGTCAATGGCTTCAAGTCCTTATTAATTTCTAATGTGATAGGTCCTCACACTATTTATTCGAACTGTGTGGATGATGATGGGAAGAAGAAAACAAAGAAAATATCCTAAGTACAACAAATGTACCAAGCAACACAATAACAATATCAGATGTGAATGAATATGACAAGAATCTAGAAAAATCCCAAGAGACATTGAGGGTTACGGCTGTAAATGAAAGAGTCAGGGTTCATACAGCAGGCTACATATGTAGAAAAATAAGTAAAAAATTAATTGCCAAGATTGCCAAAAGACTTTTGTTGCAGAGGTCCAAGAAAATTTCCACAAATGGATAATGTATAGGGAGTATAAACTATTAAAAACTAGCAATTTAGCTTATCCCTTAAAGCGGTTTTTAATATTATATAGAGATATCGCCAACCTGATACATTTATATTTAAACCAATACGCCCACATAAAAAATACTGGCAAAAGTCTAAAAAGAGGAATCTTATATAAACTTAAATTTGACTGGCTGGGTTGCTCAACGCACAAAACAAATGCACGCGAATATTTTATTTATTAACTTAATTTTAAGACTACACATTCATAACTGGTGCAACATAATAAATAAAATATTAAGAGGAGATGTGGAGGAAAAATACATTTTAAAAATGAGTATTGCTCAAATTAAGGCCTATAATAAATATAAAATGTATATATTGAGGAGCAAAAATAAATAATTTGAAATTACTTAATCTTTCATTTATTTTATAAAAGTTATTATAAAAGTCGAAGTTAAAACTTAATTCTTACAGATTTCCGACTAGTTTTTTTATCGACTATGGTACATCACTAGCAAAATCGATATATAAATTACACATCACTAACCTACGTCAAAGTTTGTGACGTCATTACATGCGATACTAGCGCATTGCGCTAACGAGTGAAAACTAATACAAAAAAATCGAGTGTCCCATCTGTCTCTGGCTAGTATATAGTAATCTGTGATGGAGTGGACGAAAGTATTAAAAATGGCATCAAATTTTTTATCGACTCCATACCGAAGATTGAGTCGCATTATACTCGTGTTAACTCAAAAAGAAAATATATTGATCGTAGCTAAGCTGTCACAGATCTTCATAGAGATTATGTGGAAAAATGCAAATCCCCTATGGAACCTACATTACATTTTACCGTATTTTTAAACCAAATTTTAATATTTAATTTTTCACTCCTATAAAGGATTTATGCGACATATGCGAAGCTTGTAAAAACATCACAGATGAAGAGAAACAATCTAAGAAACAAGAGTATGAATTACATCTTAAGGAAAAGAATTGGTCTCGTATTGAAAAAGAAAAAGGTAAGAACAACAGAAATATTTTAGTAGCGGTCTATGATCTTCAAGCAGTGTTCCAATGCCCAAAAGAAGACGTCTCAGTTTTTTACTACAAATCAAAACTAAATGTACTTATTAATTTCACAATTTATGAGTTAAAAAGTAATTCAGTTGAGTGTTATGTGTGGGATGAGTCGAAGCTGAGCATCAGCTTGTACAGGACGTCACAACTAGGTGGAACAGCACCTATTATATGTTGGAGAGAATCGTTGAACAAAAACGTGCGCGTTTCTCTTTACATTTCTGACAATTCTGGCTCAGTTAACATTCGAAATTGTACTGAAAAAGACAGTGGCAGATTCTCAAAGAATGTTTAATTCTATTAAAACCTTTTGAAGAAATCACCAAAATTACAAGTTCTACATTTTCTACAATTTCAGAAGTGATTCCCTACAGTAACACTCTGATCAAATATTTAACAAAACCAGAAATTTCAGAAATATGTTCAAATATACCAGAAATAGTACAAAAACTACGAGAAGAAGTTCAGAGTCGTTTTAAAAATGTGGAAGAAGACAAATACTACTTACTGTCTTTCCACATTGTTGGATCCCCGATTTAGAACGAGATTTTTTTGCTCAAGAAAATTATGTACTGGTGAGAAGAAAGCTTTTTCTAGAAGCGATACAAAGAAACGACATTGATCCGGAAAGCTCTAGCGAAGATGAACTCGACTTTAGTTCAGTATCTATATACGCTTATGCGGTGTTCATCTTTTGAGAAGATTGTTCATCGATTTCCAGAACCAGGACACAGCTTCTTACCGTGTGATCGGTGTTTCGGCGTAATAGAAAAGTTTAATAGAAGGAAAGATTACATATTTACGACTTCTGAATATGCCGATTATATTACGCAAGCATCTAAAAAAAGTAATAACAAATACAGAGAAGATTCGATTCAAAATATCTCAATATCGCATTTTTGAATATAGTTAAGACCACATCAGTCATCACTGAAGTCAGTGTTACAACGGGAACGCCAGTATTTGATTATTTTCCTATAATGAGAAATGCTCAAGCCCAGCTATCAGTTCTGCCTCAGAAACCGTTATATGATCATGCATTGCCGTTGAAAAAGGCTAAATACAACGATGTTATGCAGTTGGTAAAGAACTATGGTCCACCAAATAAACTATATTTCTACAGGGCCCTTAAAAGTGAAGCTGTCGGACCAACAGATGATATTTCTAGCGAAGACGACGATGATCAAGCTGAAGTTAACCTTTAATTATTATTTTTTTGTTCAGCACTCATTCGTTTTTGTATTTCTTTTGATTGTTTAATTCTTTGTGGATTGATTACTAATTCTTGAAATAAAAAAATAACCGTGTTTACCTGTTTTATTATCCTTAATACAAAATAGGGTAGTATTTTTCTTCAATCTTGGTGCAAAACGGAGGCAGATCCAAACTTTAAAAAATCGTAGTAATTCTATTACTTCTTCAATTGCCTTAAATCTTGAACAAGATGTGTATGTATGTTCATATTATATAATGCCATATAACGATAAGACATAACGACGATGAAGAGTCAATATATAATATCTAACATTTTGGCCATTTTTGTTTTATTGCATTATTTATTGTAGAATAGAGTAATGCACATGCTGACAAAGATCTTAGGTCTGTTTCTTATCAATTTTGCAAGATAAACAATTATTGCAGTATAAACTAAGTGGTGTTAAGTCATTTACGATGGCAATAGATACTATTCACGCAGAGACGCGTCCGCTTGTGATTGTTGTACCAAGTGTACTGAGCTGACAGGTAGCGACCTGTCGATGCGTCGCCGGTCCGTTAGCAAAGGGAGAGAAAGAGAGGGGTATACAAAACACGACATGACAGCGACGACACCGCCACCAATCGTTCATTTCGTTTGTTTTTGTGTTTAACAGAAGAAGTGAAGTTGGTTAAAAGTTTTTATTAATGTGGTTTTTGGAGGATAAACTAATTTCTTTAGTGTAAATTCGAAACATACGGCTTTTACAGACTTTGTTAGGTAAGTAAAGTGATAATTTATTATTAAAATGGCACTTTGTTGCAGTTAGATGTGTTTTATTGTGTTTGTTTTAATATGAGTTTACCACTTAAAAATAATTTAATTGAACATTTTTTAGGACAATGTCACGAAGTAACCGTTTGTATCAAGGCTTGTGGGGAAGAAAGATTTTGGAAAATCTCAATAATACAAGTGTTACCAATTTGAGACACCCCACAGAACAGGAATACGAAGAAATTTTTGGAAACAATCATCAGCTTGTAAGTTCTCCTTTTATTTCAATACTGGTCAGACAGATAGGGTTTAGTTTCAAATTTTCTTTGCCTGTTTTTTTCAGTTTAGCCTTATTACTCTTAAGCTCTTAGGGTCAGATAGGGGTGATCACATAATGTTAAAATTCGTTACAACATGTTCTAAAATTTTAAAAGGCGTGATATTAAGTACTTTCTGTTATTATTGTTTTAGCTCCCCGAGCATGATAATTCTGATCGGTCAGACTGCAGCTTGCTGAGTTTGGATAGTCAGATGCACAATAAAAACATTTCTAATGATCCTGGCCCCAGTTACCTTGACCACGGAGATAATCTGTCAAGTTTAATACAGTTAAGTGATCTAGAGCCTACAGCTTCTACATCTAATACTCTCAAACCTAGCCACCATGACCTGGATATCGAAGTATCGTATGAGCTGGAGTCAAATTACCTTCAGGCTACTGATTATGACACAAAAGATAGTATTACAATTAAAAGCTTTAGAAAGGTTCAGTCTGATCCTATGTTAACAGATCAGAATTATGTTGCCGTGAGTGATCGTGATAGTCCTTCGATTTTGTTAAGCTTTACAGTTGATGATACAGAAAATTTAATTGAAACAGATGCGAGTAGAGAGAATGATTACCACCCTCCAAACCATGCCCGTGATAATTCAACAGAATCTGAAATAGAATTTGGTAACATGAACCAAGGTCGAAAGCGGCGGCACATAGCTGAACCTAAGCATTGGAAAAGAAATTTGGCAAAAATACGTAGAATGAAAGGTGAGGATTTTTTGGGATATTCTAGACCCGCAAACGGAAAGTTTAAACAGGATACGTTAAGGAATGCTAGGAGGTTGGGAGAGAGATGTAAGTGTGGGAATTCGACCATTTCACTTTAGGCTAATAATGAATATAGACAATATAACGCGACCCTGTTATGACAAAACAATGCAACCCGGGTTACATCGTTTTATGGTAATACATCGCTAAATAATCTACGCGATGTTAGCTTGGTACAGGTTTGATTTACAGTTCAATAATGGCTTCCAGTAACAAAAAAACTCAATTTTACACTTTACTGCAACCCAGAGTTCTAATAAAATGTTCTGGCAAAACGCGGCATTCTAGATTGCAGCGTTTTGCCGTGATAAGTAAGAGGGTAGCGGGGCGTGCGGGTGAGCCGCGCACGTGTTTGTATTTTGGTAAAACATTGCAAGCTAAGGTTGCATCGTTTTGTCAAAATAATAATATACAACACTGCAGTCACGCGTATTGTTTACATTCCTTTATTGTTCATCTATTGCTCTAAGTAGTCGGATGTGCTAAGGTAGTGTTATAATTATGGCGAAATATGAACGTATCAAAAAGTTATACAATTTGGCAGTACTTGGAAATAATTCATACAGTAAACCGGTAAGTGTGTGTTTAACTTTATTTCTATATTTTCACAGGTAAACATAATTCGAATACTAGATAACAACTGAACATTTAGGTAATTAACTGAATGCAAACAATAACGATTATGGCTTAAAAAAAAAACGTTTTTTATATGTCGTGTAATGTACTTAATTTAGAATTTGACTTCATTCCTAAACATTGTTTACAGTTTGTTTATAGGTAAGAAACGAAATGTCAACAATGTTAGAATGTCTTTTTACCGCATTTTCTTACAAAAAGACATGAAGGTTGTTGACACTTGGTTAATTAAGTACCTTTAACGACATTTAGTACCTATAGGTAAGTTAGGGTACACACATAAAGTAAGAATAAACATTATAGGTAAAGAAGGTAGATCTAGTACCGTAGTTTGGGGCATGGTGGTTTTCCCTGCTAAGCAGATATTGACATTGTGTCACTTAAAATAAAGTCGCAAATACTTCGGTCGTAGGTCGGACTTATCGGAGTTATTTTCGACTTTATTTCAAAGACAGCAATGTTGATATTTGCATGCCTGTAAAACTGTGCTATCTATTTTTCGTCTGGTTTGAATTTGCCCTTACAAAATAATATAAAAAGTGTTTTATTCTTTTAATCTAAATTCTCTTACCAACTCTTGTGTCGCCAAACTCACGTGTCGCGAAAACTGAAAATGAATGTACCTACAATATATTTTTTTTTACATAAAGGATACGGCAACCTTGTTTTATTTCATTTAGTTGGTTTTAATATTTTTTCTATGTTTATTCATGGGCCAAATTTCATCCAAATCTGATATGCGCTTAAATATGCTTGAACTTAATAAAAAATTTTAACAAATAAAAATACTTTCGTATTTATTATATATAAAACAGGTTATCTTTGAACTGTGATGTGTGATATCTTTGGATTTGCTTGGAATATCAAAATTAAATAAACTTGGTAATCAAAGTGCGTTTTATTTTCTTAATCAATTATTTGTTGGTTATATTTGAAAAAGACTATTGATCCTTCATTATAAAGTTTTGCGTAGAAGTGTTGCCACGCAAATAGGTTCCTGAAGATCGTGGTAAGATGAACGGGGAAGCCTTTACCCGTTAATAGAAGAGTAATGGCTAGAAATATAATACATTGATAAATAAAGTTAATATAATTCCATCTTCATCCGAAGATATCACAATTCAATGTAAAGTACGCTGATTTCATAGGGGCAGATTTATTATTAGTTAAACGCCTCCTGCCGGAGGTTATACGCCGGGGTCGTGCGGTCCATGGCCCTCTATGGCGCCCCTGTGTGGGCGCCGAACCTGATGCGGCGGCCCGCTCGGGCGCTGCTCACATCACAGAGGGTCATGGCGATCCGATTGATACGCGGATATCGCACGATCTCCGGGGAGGCGGCGAACCTCCTTGCCGGATTACCGCCGTGGGATCTGGAGGCGAAGGTGCTCGCGCGCGTGTTTTGTTTGCGCGCGGAGGCACGTCGCCGGGGCGAAACTCCGCTGCCGCGCCAGATTAATGCGTGGCGGGATGAGCTCCGGCGTGATCTCATGGCGGAATGGCAGCAACGACTGTCGCAACCGAAGGCTGGGCTCGCTGTCATTGCAGCGGTAAGTCCCCTCTTTGAGGAGTGGCTTGAGAGACGCTACGGCGTCCTCACCTACCGCCTGACGCAGGTGCTTACCGGACACGGAAGTTTCGGTAGGTTCCTGTTTCGGATTGGGCGGGAGGAAACGCCCGGGTGTCATCACTGCGAGGATCGCCCGGAGGACACGGTGGAGCATACGGTGGCGGTGTGTCCTGCGTGGACTGAGCACCGCCGTGTCCTCAGGAATGTGATCGGCGACGGCGACCTCTCGCGTCCGGCTCTGGTTCAGACCATGGTACGGAGCGAGGGGGACTGGGATGCCGTCTCCTCCTTCTGCGAAGCAGTCATGCTAGCTAAGGAGGAGGCGGAGCGCGTGAGGGAACGAACCTCCTCACGACCCGGCCGTCGCGAGACACTCCGGGCGTCGGGGATCGCGAGACGATCTCCGGCCACCGTAAGCACGGGTCTGCGGACGGCGAGCATGGGTGACTCGCCGCCCGACCAGAACCAGGCCCGTGCGTACGGCGCGTCGCGTTCCGCGCGCGCCTCAAGGAGCCATCAGACCACCACAGATGGGGCCTAACAAGGCTGATGCCGATACGGAGCCGCGGAAGACTTAACGGGTTGCCGGGGCTCCGGTTCGAAGTGCAGGTGTAGGAACGGGGTGGTTTTTAGTCAGTAAGAGTCTGACACTCCCTCCCGCCTCGCCCAGGCGGGAGAAGTCATTGGATGATTTTCCCCCCTCAAAAAAAAAAAAAAAAAAAAAAAAAAAAAAAAAAAAAAAAAAAAAAAAGATTTATTATTAGTTACGACAACTTTTTGTTTAGATGCTAAAGCATACCTATAAGTATTTAAATGGATTTTTCATGTTTTGTTTAAGGAGGAAAGCATTCAAAAGGAAAGTTTTCGTTTACCATCCAAATGTAAAGAATATGAAGAAATTCCAATTAACCAGCGGCAGCCTAATTTAAAAAGCGATGATACATCTACAATTATAAGTTATGACGACTTGCCACTAGTAAACGAGAAACATTATGAAAGCTCTTTCGAGCAAACGACTGAAATTTCAAATATGCAATTGGACAATCAAAAACTTTATGAAGACATGGACATTTCTGCAGCAGTTCCTAATCTTGAAAACCAAAATGACCTAGATGAAATAACTAAAGATAAAAATTACTTACCACCGTCGCATTTAACTCCCGATTTTGCAGAAATGAGAAATGTTACACCTACGAGTTTATCAAACGAAAATTTTAATTGCCAATACAAAAATAATAGTGATTACTTACCCCATGCAAATGAGAAATTTACGATACCATGTGTAGAAGAACACAATCACTCCAATTTACAACTCGATGAAGATAGATTTACGGAGGACGAAGAAATTTCAGCTGCAGCAGCAGTTAGTTATTTGGAAAATATTTCTGAAAACCCAAGTTATCAATCGAATGAACTAAGTGATAATCAAATTATTGAGCCTCCACCTGCAAAAAAGAAACGTGTTAAAGATTCCAGAGCTAGGCTAATAATTAGCAAAGAAAAACATCTCATGGGTATTGCTTGTTCAGCTAAATGCACAAGGAAGTGTACAGCAAATATTACTGAAGAACAACGGCAAACAATATGGGATAGCTACTGGGATATGGATATACAAAGAAGAAGTTTTTATTTCGAAAAATGTAGAAAATAGTAAAATTGCTATACGGTATTCAAACTCTACCAAAAGAAACCATACCTATATATACAGATTACTAAATCACCGTGTATGTAAAACTATGTTCCTGAGGACTTTAGGCTACACTAACGATCAAGCAGTGCTAGCTGTATTGAAAGCAAATTTCAAATTTTCTAAAACTCCTGATTCAACAAAAGTATCGGCAGCTCCAGATTTAAGAGGTCGACATAAACCAAAACACTTCTTTTACTGATGAATATATAAAAGAGATAGACGACTTTATCGAACTATTCCACCCGACTACATCTCATTACAGATTAGAGCATGCACCCAACCGACGATATTTACCCACTGGACCGACACTCTCTCAAATGTTTCTATTCCTAAAACACCATTTGGAAACTAAAAACAAACAGCCATGTAGCTGGTCTGCATTTCACAAGAGGATCAAAATTAAAAATATTTCAACTCAGCAACCCGAACAGGATAAATGTCCAAAATGTGAGGCTCATGATGTAGCTCACCCAAAACCTAAGCTGCCCAGAGATGAAGGCGTCACAGACCATTTATGCTCTGAATGCAATTGTGATCTTTGTATTCAGTATCCACAGCATTTGGAGAATAAAAATATTTCAAGAGCTCACGTGAATGAGGATAATAAAGATGCTCAAAAAGAGGACTCAGGGATTGCAGTATTTACAGTCGACATGCAAAAATGTATAACCATGCCGCAACTAAATAATAAAGATTTTTTCTTCAGCCGAAAACTGAACCTATTTAATGAAACCTTTGCCGGGATAGGTAAAGGAAATAAGCCAGCAACAGCCATGTTGTGGCATGAAGGTGAATCTGGACGAAAAGCATTTGATATAGCAACGGCATATGTTCTATTTCTTAAAACATATTGCAGAGACAACAAAAAAGTAATTTTATATTCAGATAATTGCAACTCGCAAAATAAAAATAAAATTTTATATTCCGCACTGCTGAGACTAATTAACGATTGCTGCAATGAAATTAGAACCATTAAAATTGAATACTTGGAACCTGGTCACACCTACATGTCAGCTGACAGTGTACATGGCGCCATCACCAATAAAATGAAAAAGTCAGGAAATTTATACGATTTAGATGATTACGTTCACACAATTAAAAAGTCTCAAAAAAATTTGACAGCCCATGTACACGACCATAAAGAAGTTATGCTGTTCAAAAGTGAATTGAAATCCATTTTCCTAAAAAATATAATATTTCCAGTTTTAAAATTGTTGAATTCCGAAGAGGCCAACCTAAACTGTTCGTAAAAAATAATTACGAAGCTAACAATTTCAAGGAGCTCGATATACTGTCCAAAACATTAAAGAAAGAAATTATGAATGCTGTTGGAAAAGAAGTTGACATGTTTGTCAATGTAGCAAAAAGAACAGAACCAGTGGGAATTTCCCAAAAAAAGAAGAATGAGTTAGTAAACTTATTAAAATTTATGCCTAACTCCAGGCATCGGTTTTATGAAGATTTGGTGGTGAATGAAAATATCACCGAAGATCTGGACGAGTCTGCTTCAGAAGCTTTTTAAGTAATAATATTCTAGCAACTTTATGATATTTTTTACGTGATACTCATCACTTTTTATTTTTTTGTTTTTCTTTTTTAATTGTACTGTAATAAAAAGTTCACAGAAGTTGGAGTGTTAATCTGTAAAGTACTAGCTAACCCCGACGGTTTCACTTGCATCACATTATTGTTATATTTTCACCCACACACACACACACATACGAACAAACACCCACACACACACACACACACACACACATGCCCACAAATACACACACACACCAACGCACACACACATACATACACAAAAACATATCAAGTTTCACATTTTTTTACTCTTGGTTGAGCAAAGTGTATTAAGGTCACAACAAAAACGCATGTTGACTAGGAATATGTTGTTGCAACAAAACATGTTTTTTTTAATATTGTGAGGTATCTATAGCAAAAACGATTAAATTATGTTCAAGTGAAAATAAGTAAATACTATACTAAATTTATCAAAAAAAAAACTATATTGTTATCTATATTGGATTAAGTTTGATAGCGAGTTGAACATTTAAACTTTTACATACGTTTTTCTCAAAATGACGTTTTCCAGATTGCAGCGTTTTGTCCTAACAGGGCCGAGCGGCTATCGTAAAATAATCGTACAGTACGTACGGACTTCAATTTGTAGGTATAACGTTATGTCCAAAAAAAGAAAAAATAAGTATTTTTTAAACATGATTTAAAAATGGTTTAGCTTAATATTTTTATAGTTTAACTAAGAATTCAAATTCATCCAACATAATTTGCACTATTATTATTATTTAAAGAAAAGAAAAATACACTGCTTGTCTTACTTCTACTATGGTATAATATGATAATGAGCGAGAAAAAACTGACAAAATCAACAAGTATTCCTTTATCGATCTTTACAGAATATAATTTTATTATGAAGAGAAATAGACCTAGTGGATTTCAGCAAAGAAAAATAAAAAAATCAAAAGAACTTGCACGTGAATCGTTATCTGGATCAATTTTGAAATTTGTAGCACCTTCAGCTTCTCTGGTACCAAATACATCACAGCAAAGTGTTGAAAGTGACCTTCTTGATGTAACAGATGATGAAGAAACACGGAGCCAAGATGCATTAGATGAAGGGACGCTGGGAAGAGAGCCTGACAATTTTGATACACAAGATGAAAGACAAGGCGAAGATCAGCACCAAGAAGAATATGACCAAGAAAAATCCCAGCAAATTGAAAACGATGAAGAAAAGGTGCATGGCACTACTCATTTCGATGTTGCTACTTGGCCAACACCAATGCCTGATGATCTGAGAGTTGAAATTGTTAAAGCGGGAAGTGAACCCTATCAAAACAGAGATGGTCCATTTGTAGACACTGTCCAAAGATCTGGAGATAAAATAAAAGGAAAGAGCCGACATTTTCATTCAGAATGGTTTTATAAAGCGTTACCAAATGGAGAAAAAGTACTCAGAAAATGGACGGTATACTCTCCAATAAAAAAAGCTTATACTGTTTTTGCTGCAAACTATTCACGCACCATGAAACAAAACAGAGTTTCGTTAACGGTTTTAATTCATGGTGGAAACTAAATCCTAAAGTGTCTGAACACGAGAATTCTGAGGGTCATCTCTCCTGTTTTGAAAAATGGAAAATCTTGGAGAATGGTTTGAGGCTGCAAAAAACTATCGATTATGAGTATCAAATGGTCTTAGACCAAGAAAAAAAGAAGTGGCGTGACATTTTGAGTCGCCTTTTGGATATCATTCTTTTCCTGGCACGCCAAAATCTTCCTCTAAGAGGACATAGAGAAGGGATTTCATCAGACAATAGAGGGAACTTTTTAGAATTAGTTAATCTATTGTCAAAATATGATCCAGTGCTAAAAGAGCACAAAATTAGAATTGAACATGCTATCGCCTGTACAAAAAGTAAACGGGTAGATTCTTATTTGTCTAAAGACATTCAAAATGAGTTCATCAGTCTTTTGGGGAGAGAAGTGAAGAATAACATTTTGGACGACATAAAGAAAGCTAACTATTTTGGAATTATTTTATTTTATTTTTTATTTTTTTTTTTTTTTTTTTTTAAATCTATGTGGGGTGCACTCTTTCATGAGTGTTAGTTCAAGTGTAACATTTTTTGGAACAGTAGAAAGAGTTTACACGTTCTTTTCGTCATCCACACATAGATGGGAAATTCTAATGAAAAGTGTAGGCGTATCGGTCAAAAGACTAGTAGAGACAAGATGGAGTGCTCATCACGATGCTGTTAAGTCATTGAAGAATAAGTTTGAGAAACTTGTATCAACACTCGAAGAGATGTGTGATCCCAGAAGCAGCAGAGAAAACGTCGATACAAGAGAAGCAGCATCCACACTCTTACCAGCTTTATGTGACTTCAGTTTTTTATGCTACCTCTCTTTTTGGTGTGAAATCCTAGAAGAAGTTAATCAGACACAAAAGTATATCCAAACATCTGGACTATCGCTGGAAAAGTGTGTTATAAAAATTAAAGCCCTAACAATTTTTCTTCAAACTCAACGTATACAAATAGTGGAAAGAGCTATTTCCTACGCAACTGAGAAATGTGAAGACTTGGATATCTCAGTTGAAAGAAGAGGAAGGAGGAGATTCCGAAAACGAATGCCAGGAGAAATGTCCCAAGATGTTGGACTAACATTGCCAGAAGAGTTGCATAGAGCTATGTTAGAATGTCTTGATAGATTTTACGAAGAACTAGAGCATCGCTACAAAGCAATGGATGATATTCTCATAACATTTGGTGTTGTTCAGTCTGAAACTCTACTTACGTCAACAGAAGAAGAACTTCGTGATAAAGTTCCAAATCTTACAAAAATCTATGATGAATTTTCTGCAGAGGACATTATTTTGAAGATTTTACGACTGAGGCGCCACTTGGAAGCCGCCAGCATTTCTCTTCAAGAAGCGATCCAATGGACTACCTTGGAGCTTCTGAAATTTATTGTAAAATGGGACTATTCTGAGTCTGTTCCATGTCTAGCTCTATGTCTAAGATTTTTTTTAACTATTTGTGTTTCGGTGGCTACTTATGAAAGAAGTTTCTCAAAATTAAAGTTAATAAAATCTTACTTAAGATCTACAATGAGCCAAACACGACTTTCCAGTCTATCCATATTGTCCATTGAAAAGGAGAGGTAAGTAAATTTTGATAATGTCATTGAGTATTTTAGCAAAATAAAGTCACGTAAACACGTTTAATATTTGTCGTTTTATTTTGAGGGTGCTCGATAGAAAGTCGCCCCGGGTGCCAACCTATGCTACGCCGCCACTGTGTACAATAATGCTTTTTATTTTCAATATACGAAAAAATTACTTCGGCAACTCGACCGCGTGGCGCGGCCGAGTCGCATAATAAAAGAATAATTAATATTTTATTTTCCCAACTCGGCCGCGCGGGCGAGTTTCTCGCGTCCGAGTTGACGAATCATTCACGTTATTTCAGTTACTCAGAATACCATACGAGAACAAAAAAAACTTCCTAATTTTCATCAGTTGTACTAAATTTTTAAATCTCCTCGAATGATATATCAGAAACAGAAGAAACAAATGAATGGTATACTGAGGATAATGTGCCTATTGCCGATGGGTTCAAAATCTATCAGAAAAAGGATTGGAGACAAGTGAAGAAAATTTGAATTCTTGGTTTGAAGAAATCGATGAAAAACAGAGGAAATTATGACTGATGAAGAAATTGTAGCACCAAGTTACTACTACTGCTGTAAGAGTAAAACCAAATGATGCATTGATTTGTTTCAATACCTGCTTTACATGGGCAGAAGAAAACGGCATATCTGCCAAAGATATTATAATTCTTCGCAACATGCGAGAAAAGGTTTTTAAGCAAGGACTACGAGTTGCACAAGAGCAGACCTCAATTACGGATTATTTCAAATCTAGTTAATTATATATTTACTTATGTTAATTTAAGACATTACATACAATTATTCTCTCTATGAAATGTTTTACTTTATTACCTATGACTTTTTCTGTACAACCCAGTAATCCGAACATTCCAATTCCAATCCAGTTTTCAATAGTGCCGGATTAGTGAGATTACACTGTATAGTTAAACAGTTGATTTACAAACCCGAAACACAACACTAACAACTTTATTTGACCCACTCCTACTCCATGGACAGTGGTGCCTTTTTATACCCCTCATATAAGACTTGTGATTTACTAATAGACAATAAATATATAAATAAATAATAAATAGAACAACATACTATGCATGGAAGTGAACAAAAGAGGTTACCAGATTTGGGCATACAGCTTTAGGATATTTGTATCAATTTGAATTCTTAGGATTTTGTGTTAAAGCCGAACTCATAGAGGTTAGTTTAGGCCCAAATGTTATACCTACAGTTAACAGTTTACCCATTAATTTTATTCAAACACCCAATTCGAGAAATCGAATGATACAAATCCATTTGTAACATGAAAATATCAAAACACAAAGACAAACATTATCAATATACTCATTATCAATTAGATTGGATTATCTTCTTCTTTGCATTTCAGCAGTATGTCAATTATTTCATTGAGTCTCATAATATGAGAGCTGAGTAGGTATATACTCAGTGCGGTACACAGCCCAAACCACAGGCTGTGCACCACAGTGAGTCTAAATAACTCATGTTCAGAATATGAAAAAGATCCAAACGCTCTTACAAGCTCACCCAGAAGACTTCAATGATACTTTATTTGGCCAATTTTCATAAATATGTTCCAATAAAATATTTCTTCAGAAACAAAGTCACCAATTCCGATCTATATGAAATGATTAGATAGTAAAGTACGATTTCCCAAATTTAGAATCTTTCACTAATGATTACTAACTGCTTTGCTGAACGATCCTTCTCACAATTAAAGACATTAAAAAACCCGTAAAGAACCAAAATCCGTCAAGACAAGCTTAATTCTTTTACATTCATGTGTATTGAGGCAGACATACTTCGTCTGATAAATTTCTATGTAATGTAAATGTAAAACATTTACGATGAAACGACTTCGAACATGAATGTATTAACCACTCAACCACTGTCCCCACTGATCCAATTTGCATTTTGCAATAAACTCAAAGAGTATAATAAATATAGGGGAATAAACTTCACTCGATCACACATGACAATATTGACAAAACAATAAAGAAAGTAGAGAGAGAAGAGAGTAGAGTAACGAGTAACTAGGATTAGGTTAGGAAAATAAGAAGGTCATACACACTCAAATTTTATTTCAAAAGACTGGTATGACGCTATACGTGGCTCCCTCTTTGTAATGCATCTGAGACTATGGTTTGGTTTGTCATTGTCTCAAAGATTCTACAATACTTTTTATTACTGACTGACAATTTATTTATAATTAGCTCACCAACGACACAATCGAACTAAGTCGTACATTTAATATTGACATTTTAGTAATTTTGTTAATGTACTACCTATGCCGCCGAAGAACACCACTACGATGCTAGTTTTTGGAACAATTTTTGACATAAACTTTCATACAGATGTCATGTCAAAATTTAATTTTTCCGTGAAGTTTGACGGTTAAAAGTTGTATCGTATCGTCACATTTTCATTATACGTATAATAAAAAAATTTAATACTAATTTAATAATTGCGAAAGAGGTAAAGAAATGGAGGTTACCGATGAAAACTTGGCTACGTTGGCAAATTACCTGCAACAGACTTTAAACCCTGACACCAACGTTCGACGACCGGGTTCGTATATTTTCTTTGTTTTTTCGCAAATTGTATTGTTCTGATAAATGTATTTGGTTAATATAGTACTATAACTTTGGAAATAATGATTTTTCGAACGTAACTAGTGTTTAGTTAGACATTAGTTTGCCAAACACTAATTATAACCTAAAACATTTGTATTAGTATTGTTATTTGAGCTGAATATAAACTGGCACATGCCTGCGTGCCTTCAGAACCTTTTTACTTAAGTTTGATAGATATTACTTCTACAGTCCACTGTAAAATAAATGCTGCAAGTCATTCCACAGTATCTTACTAGATTCTTAAAGAGATTGACCTCTGGAGTTGTGATTCTTCTATGATTTTCTTAACTCACATTTTGTAGTTTATATTATGAACTATATGAAAATTATTTAATTTTCAGAATAGATCCTTTGTAAATAATGATGAATCAATTCACTTCTGTTATTTCACATTATTGATGTGGATTATGACTGAATATGACTCATATGATTGTCTATATTTTTATTCAATAATTCTGATTGTGAAGCTTTAATGTAGAATTGATTAAGATGGGTTACAATGGAGTTTCTTGTTCATTCTTCAATTCAGATACTAATAGATAATCTAATAACTTCACTAAATTTCACTGACTGATAAACTGACGCTTTTATCTTATAATATTAAATATTTTATACTGATTGTAAACGAAATGCTTCGGAAAACACAGACAACTATTTGATCTGTTTTCGTGTTATTCATACCTCATTCATATAATAATAACTACACAAAGTAAGAGGAATCAAATGTTTCTTCTATGATATGAAAATTTTGATATAAAATGCATTACTTTTTTGAAATTAAACCTCATTTTTTACCTTGTCTTGTTTTTGGAAGCATTCTGTTAACATTGTGTATAAAAATATATAATATTATAAGATAAAAGTGTTGGTTTATCTTCTATCTATTGGTCTAATTGATATAAAATATTTGAATTACAGCTGAAAAATTCCTTGAGAGTGTAGAAGTGAATCAGAATTATGCTATTCTGGTTTTGCACCTTATTGACAAAGAGACGGTGGACCTCACGATACGAGTAGCTGCGGCAATTGCCTTCAAGAACTTCATCAAACGGAATTGGCCTATTGTATGTATCTGACTATAACTATTAAAGTACTAGCTTTTACCCGCGGCTTCGCTCGCATCACAAAAGGATAAAAAGTAGCCTATGTGACATAAACCAATACATACAGCGCCATCTATACCAATTCTTTTGTTTTCCCTCGGGAATACCAATATTTTCCGGGATAAAAAGTTATTTAATACGGACTTCTAATTACACGTCTGCAAAAATTCAAAGCAATCAGTTTAGTAGTTACGGGGTGAAAGTGGAACAAATAAACAAACAAACAAACTCACTTTCCGATTTATAATATAAGTAAGGATTATAACGACTGTACCACAGTGGCTGGGTAACTGAATGCTATGCAATATGTTGCGAGCTAGAACCCTGAATGGTACAGCACTTTGCATTTAGAATATTACTTAACATATGTGTCTGTATGTGTTGGGACCCCAAGCATGTGGTGACACCAGCGTAGAACACGACTGTCACCACCCCTGTTCTTCCCGTGGGTATTGGTAACAGTCATCTAAAGAATCACAAAATTATTAAAAAAATTCAGAAACATGCTCTGATAAATCTGAATCTTTCAAACTGCAATCTCGTATCGGCTTGCTAGACATGGTTTGACAAACCTCTATGTATAAGGATGCTCATAGACCAGCAGTTGAGTCTCACGAGCTTTTCAACAGAAAATGATAATATAATATGCTGTTTTTCCAGAATGAAGATGGAGTGAACCGGATTCATGCATCAGACAGGAATACTATAAAAACATTGATTGTTTCACTCATGCTGAAGTCTCCGGAAGCCATTCAGAGGCAGTTCAGTGATGCAGTGTCTATCATTGGTAAATGTGACTTCCCTGAAAACTGGCCGAGCCTCATTCCTGAGATGGTTGAAAAATTTAACACTGGTAAGTGGTTTTTGAATTACAACCTAACTGTTTTGCAATAATGTTGAATATTGTGTAATGGTTTTGCAATAGTGTTGAATGTTGTGTAAAAATTATAACCTTTATTATTTAGTGTATTGCATATAGTATAGAAATGTGTTTAACCCATATATCCCCAAGTGGTCACCGGTGACCTCTCTCCACTAAATACATTATAGACTTTATTTCCAATGTTTAGAGACTACTTTTGTATGAACAAATTTAGGAGATTTTTTTGTGGCTTAAGCCGGTATGCGAGCAGATAGATCACCTGATGGTAAGCAATCGCCGTCGCTCATGGATACCTGGAACACCAAGGCGTTACAAGTGCGTTACCGGTCTTTTGGGAATTGGGAATTTGAGGATTGTAGAGATTTCGGGGATTCGAGAGACTGGGGAGGGGGGCAATTGGGCCTCCGGTGACCTCACTCACGCGACGAAACACAACACAAGCGTTGTTTTACGTCGGTTTTCTATGAGGCCGTGGTATCACTCCGGTCGAGCCGGCCCACTCGTGCCGAAGCATGGCTCTCCCACACTTGTGTGGACCACAAATTGTTGTTTCGGATCTGGGATTTATGTGTATGTGATATTGTACGTAGAAACCCACAATACAGGAGAATATCCTAATGTGGGGCAAATTTAAAAAAAAAAATCTAAGTAGGTTTTATTATAACCAATGTTTTATAAAGTGACTTTAAAAAAATTATAGACATACTTTTTTAATTATATTTCAGGCGATTTCCATGTTATAAACGGAGTGTTGAGGACTGCTCACTCATTGTTCAAGCGTTACCGATACGAATTCAAATCTCAGAAACTTTGGGAAGAAATTAAACATGTTTTAGATAATTTTGCTAAACCTCTCACAGATTTGTTTGTGGTAAGTTCAATTATTTTACTGTAGAATTAAAAGTAGCTTGTGTAATTGCAGACAATTACCTATCCCCATCCCCCATTAGTATCAATCATCAACAGCCTATAAATGCCCACTGCTGAGCAAAGCCTCTTCTCACAGGAGAAGGTTAGAGCATTAATCACCACGCTTGCTTAATGTGGGTTGGCGATTTCAAACTTATAATTAGAAATTATAAGTCCAGGTTTCCTCACGATGTTTTTCCTTCACCGTTTGTCAGTGGTGTCTAAATAATCTTAGAAAGTACATATAACTCGGAAAAAGTCACATTGGTACTTGCCGTTGGTAGGTTTCGAACCCCCTCATGCATGAGAAGTGGGCGTCTTAAACCTCCGGGCCACCATGACAGGTATACAGACAAACATAAACTCCCATACTTTCGCATTTGTAGTATTAGTAAGATGTTATTAATTTGTGTTTCAGGCCACAATAGATTTAACAACGAAACATGCGGACAACCCACAGGCCTTAAAAGTTATCTACGGGTCCTTAGTATTAATTTGTAAAGTGTTCTACTCTCTGAACTATCAAGATCTGCCGGAGTTCTTTGAGGACAACATGCCTATATGGATGCCCAACCTGCTGAACTTATTACAAATCAAAGTACCCTGCTTGGAGACAAATGTAAGTATTTTTTTTTTTAAGGGGGAAAATCAAATGTAAGTTTGCGGTATTTCCGAACCGATACGACCTTCAAACCTTCAAGAAAAGGACGTATTCCCTTTTTAAAAGGCCGGAAAAGGCGTATTCCTTTTTAATAGGCCGCAACGCACCTGTGACTCCTCTGGTGTTGCGGGTGTTCATGGGCGGCGCTGATAGCTTACCATCAGGTAAAATGTACAAAAAAAATGGCAGGAGACAGTTCTTCGGGTTTCTAAGTGCCAAGCACGAATAACTATAGCATTTATAACGTAATAGTCGATCGATCGTCGAACGAATCATGTTTCTATAGCGTGTAATGTGCATATTTCGTCAGTAATTACAGTTATATACACAATTTATATTGTTAAAACTACTTACTGTTTCCTTTTTCATATATTTGATTGAAAATGTATATTAATAAAAATTAATCCCCGAAGTGTATATACGTACGCGCATAACTTCAGAACGACGGTACCAAATTGGATAAATCTCTTTTATATGTTCGTTATTGTCAGGAGATATATTATACGATATGCGAGATACAGGTCCAGTGACATGACAGTGATTTATATATATTATCATATCATTAGATAAGTATTGTTGAATGTCTCCCATTCATTTAAATTTATTTAAAAATGCAACGGTATGCGTGGACGGAGTCGCGGGCAGCAACTAGTAATAAATTAATAAATTTTTATAATAACTATCGTGAGACATACTAAATTAACTAAACATCGCGGGTTACTCACGTGAATATACTGAGAAAAGCTCTACTAGTTTCGAACCACAGAGGGGTTCTTCCTCATGAGCAGCGGGCGCGGTCGCGGCGACGTCGCGCAGCTCACTTTTTTCTTAGTATATTCACGTGAGTAACCCGTGATTTTAGTTAAATTAATAAATTCTTTATTAATGTAATTTGTATTGACAGGATGACGATGAAACACCGGGCGTAATGGAACAGCTTCGTACGGAGATATGTGAATGTGCAGCGCTGTATGCTCTGAAGTATGAAGAGGAGTTTGCCCCCCACGCCCCGGCCTTCGTCACTTGTGTCTGGACTGTACTGCTGGCCACCGGACCACAGGCCAAGTATGATGCGGTGAGTACCAACTCATTCTCTTTGTTAGGTTTTTTTTTTAGAGGGGGAAAATCATCGTATTACTGCTCCCGCCTGGGTGAAGCGGGAGGGAGTGTCAGACTCTTACTGACTAAAAACCACCCCGTTCCTTCTCCTGCACGTCGAGCCGGAGCCCCGGTTACCCGTTAAGTTCACGACCTCTTTGTTAGGTTACCCATTATATAATTGAATACATCTTGACAATCATTTATGAATCATTAAATTATAATTTTTATATCATCATGTCTTTTATCCCCGAAGGGGTAAACAGAGACACATTACGCAATGCCACGGTACAATGTATACCCACTTTTCATCATTTATAAGTCCGACATAATGGGGAGTTGTTGCCATATACCGGGCTCAATTCCAGACTCGTGCTACTGAGGAATAGGGTAGTTGCCAGGGTATGAAAATTAAAAAACAAATTAGTCCGTCAGTTAGATAATGAAGAAATATTAGACACGTATTTCTTTATTTTCTCGTGAAAACTTATATAAAATGGTGTTAAGTTTAGGGGCCGTACAAGTATTATTACGTATGCTTACTTTTGCTGACAAGGAGGTTGGGGGGGGGGGGTAAATAATTGTAAAAAATCTGCGTACGTAATATTTTAATGGCTTCTAGTACAAAATGTAGCACGCTGTGATGTCACACGATATTTCAAATTAAAATATCGTCGAAAGTATTTAATTTTGCGAAGAAAGAAAAAATACGTGTGTAATGTTTTAAATACTTCAATGTACTGTTGTGTACGGCCGTGTTGCAATAATAGTGATGATCATGTTTCAGCTCGTCTCGAACGCATTGACTTTCCTCGCGAAAATAGCTGAAAAGAACAATTACAAGAGTTTGTTTGAAGATCCCGCGACGCTGAGCAGTATATGCGAGAAAGTTGTCATACCCAACATGGAGTTTAGAGGTAAGTGGCGACGAAGGAGTATCATCATCATCATCATCAACAGCCTATAAATGCCCACTGCTGAGCAAAGCCTCTTCTCACACGGAGAAGGTTAGAGCATTAATCACCACGCTTGCTCAATGCGGGTTGGCGATTTCAAAGGAAGGAGTATAATCACACTAAACCTATTCATTCAGTGGGTATCGGATATCGTTATAATCGACTAAGAATAATAACAACATAACATCACGCCTTTTATCCCCAAAGGGTTAGGCAGAGGTGCACATTAAGCCACTATACAATGTAACACCCACTTTTCACTATTTATGTTATGAGTCCCACGTAATAGGGGATGAGCCTATTGCCATATACCCGGCATAATTCCAGACTCCGTGCTACTACTGAGAATTTTTTACAAACCCAATAATACTTTGTCCGATTCGGGAATCGAACCCGAGACCCCTTGCCCGTCGCACTTGCGACCACTCGATCAACGAGGCAGTTACTAAGAAAGCTCATTTCATTTTTAATGGAAACTGCGCAACAACATTCTCTGATAAACCAGCAACTATAGCCAAATTTTAGTGCCATTTTAGCCATTTAGCGCTTGTCTACATGTAGAATAGAAAATTATATGGAACTGACGCAAATTTTGACACTTGTCAGTGTCATCCCCATACATTTAGTTTTCTACTCTCTCTGTAGACAAGCGCTAAAGTGGCATTTGGCTAAAGGCACTGATTTTAAACAAGACTCCAACCTGCTAGCCAGGATTTGAGATTATAGATAGTTTCAGTGGTCTCTCAAGAGTTTTCAATGTGAGATCTGAATAAGTTTATGAATGAAACTCATGTTTGTTTGTTTGGTTGTACAGAGTCGGATATGGAACTGTTCGAGGATAACCCGGAGGAGTACGTGCGTCGCGACATCGAAGGCTCGGACGTGGACACGCGACGCCGCGCCGCCTGCGACCTCGTCCGGACTCTGGCTCAGCACTACGAGGACAAAATGATGAACATCTTCGGACAATACGTACAGGTAATTCTACAACATAACATAACATCACGCCTTTTTATCCTCGAAGGGGTAGGCAGAGGTGCACATTACGGCACTTAATGCCACTGTACAATGTAACACCCACTTTTCACTATTTATATTATGAGTCCCATGTAATAGGGGGTGAGCCTATTGCCATATACCGGGCACAATTCCAGACTCCGTGCTACTACTGAGATTTTTAAAAACCCAGTAATACTTTGCCCGACCCGGGAATCGAACCCGAGTCCCCCTGCCCGGCAGTCGCACTTGCGACCACTCGGCCAACGAGGCAGTAGAGAGCAGGTAATTCTAGTTAATCTTAAAACCATTTACGTGGCACTCTTCCATACTAAAATTATCAATAGCGTCTGCCAGTCGCTTCGCCCGCGCTTCTGGATCATAATCTACCGCTGTTTCAAATGAAATCCCGATCTATTTTGATATGATATGATATAGCTCTGATGTGATTGAGTAAAAAACACAAACTCACCAAGTTTCGCATTTATCTACTATATAAAAATAAGTCGAGTTTTCCTTCCTGACGCTATAACTCCAGAACGCACGAACCGATTTCCACGGTTTTACATTCGTTGGAAAGGTCTCGCGCTCCATGAGGTTTATAAAATATAAAATTTTTAAAAATGTTCTTCACCTTTTAATCACCAAACGAAATATTACATAAAATGAAGCCATCTGGTGGTGAAACGGTGTTCGCCGGGGTTTGCTAGTAATACATATAAAATATAATGTAATAATATTAGTAGAATGTGTCTGTGTCAGAGGCCTTGTACGAGTTTCATTTACGTTTAAAGTATTCGTACCGAGTACGCGTTCGGCGCTCTGATTGGTTGGTTTATTGGCCGGCCAATCAGAGTGCCGAAACACTAGTAAAACAAACTCTAGTGCAGTAAAACAAACTCGTACCAAGGCCCTGTTTATTTGTACGTCTTTCTCGGCAAAACGGAGCGACGAGTACCTAGACGTGATTTTTTTTTTGCTACTTTGTCTAAGATCTTTGAAATTTATATGAGGCAATCCACAATTTTCAAGGTAGAAACCCAAAAATTGATATGCGTGCGAACTATTTGTAGCTACAAAAAAATATAGCACAATTATTTATTTTTCGTAAATCTGACCCCAACTAAGAAAGGGAAGCCAGTATGAAATAATATCAAAGTCTAAAAAGTTAATTACGAAAATTTTCGAACACTTCTATCTATCTACGTGATTTTAAGTTTGTATTAGAACATTTGAAAGTGTCTCCCTGACTCTCGGTTTTACAAAACGTTATTAGACGGATCACGCGAATCAATTTACAACCGTCCACACAGAGCACCAAGAGACTGAGGTTCTTTTCAGCGTAAACAAAAAAACCGACAGCAGTTGGATCGCATGCGGCGGGGAGCGCTTCACCACACGTCCACACCGCGCGATATAGAAGTTAAACTATAACTATTTACAATTTCCAGTTGATGTTGGCGAAGTACGGCGAGGTGGGCGCGGCGGCGTGGCGCGGCAAGGACGCGGCCATGTACCTCGTGACGTCACTCGCGTCGCGGGGCAGCACCCAGGCCGCCGGCGTCACGCGAGCCTCGCCCCTCGTGGACCTGGCACAGTTCGCCCATACACACGTACTGCCCGAGCTGCAGAGGGCTGACGGTGAGTGTCATACTGTCATGTAGCTGTGACGTCACGCGAGCCTCGCCCCTCGTGGACCTGGCACAGTTCGCCCATACACACGTACTGCCCGAGCTGCAGAGGGCTGACGGTGAGTGTCATACTGTCATGTAGCTGTGACGTCACGCGAGCCTCGCCCCTCGTGGACCTGGCACAGTTCGCCCATACACACGTACTGCCCGAGCTGCAGAGGGCTGACGGTGAGTGTCATACTGTCATGTAGCTGTGACGTCACGCGAGCCTCGCCCCTCGTGGACCTGGCACAGTTCGCCCATACACACGTACTGCCCGAGCTGCAGAGGGCTGACGGTGAGTGTCATACTGTCATGTAGCTGTGACGTCACGCGAGCCTCGCCCCTCGTGGACCTGGCACAGTTCGCCCATACACACGTACTGCCCGAGCTGCAGAGGGCTGACGGTGAGTGTCATACTGTCATGTAGCTGTGACGTCACGCGAGCCTCGCCCCTCGTGGACCTGGCAGTTACTAGCCAATGTAACTAGATCCTTAATATACACTAATGTTTGAAGCGAGGCGCGTGAGAGAACGATCTCACGCCCCAGCCGCCGCAGAGCGCGCAGATTGTACGACCAACTCCGGTCGACCAGGACCAAACCCAATCAAATCCATTGTAATACATATCAGAAAGCGAGCTTTTTACTTTATTGGAACGTGACGTTTACGCTTCTGGTTGGTTGGTACATTAAAGCAGCCAATCAGAGTGCCGAACGTCATAAAAGTGTCGATCGTGTCAACGTTAAACAAAGTTAAAAATGTTAATACATTGTTATAAGTTAATGTTATTGTTTTAGTGAACGAGTTGCCGGTGCTGAAGGCGGATGCCCTCAAATATGTGATGACCTTCCGATCCCTGCTACCTAAAGAACTCATCACCGCGTCTGTACCACTTCTGGTAAGTAGAAAGAAAGACAACCAATTTATTCCCGCTATGGGACAAAAGTAATTAAAATTGACTGCACGATTGGCGCGGTGCCTGGGCAACCAGATGCCGCGCAACGTGTCGCGGATTCGATTTCCGCACGGAACAACGCTTTTTGATATCCACTGATTGTTGTTCCGGGTCTGGGCGTCATGTGTATGTGAAATTTTGTATTTGTAAACGCACCGCGACACAGGAGAAAATCCTAGTATGGGGCAACGATTTTAAAAAATAAAAATGTATCATATTCTACTATGTATTATACATGCGAAAGTTTGTGTGGATTTATGAATGTATAGGTTTGTTACTTTTTCATGAAGAAATTACTGAATTGCCATATACCGGGCAAAATTCCAGACACCGTGCTACTACTGGGATTTTTTTAAAACCTACTAGTACTTTGCAACCCGGGAATCGAACCCGAGAATCCTTGTCCGGCAGTCGCACTTGCAACCACTTGGCCAACGAGACAGTCTTATTTATATTACTGGGTTTTAAAAAAATCTCAGTAATAGCACGGAGTCTGGGACTGTGCCCGGTATATGGCAATAGGCTCACCCCCTATTACATGGGACTCATAACATAAATAGTGAAAAGTGGGTGTTACATAGTACAGTGGTATAATGTGCACATCTGCCTACCTCTTCAAGGATAAAAGGCGTGATGTTATGTTAATGTATATATGTTTTATTGAAAGAAATATTTGTTAATTGTGGTTTAGATAGCGCACATAGGCGGGCGGGGCGTGGTATGCACGTACGGCGCGTGTGCGATGGAGAAGCTGATCGGCGGCGGCATGGTGGCCCGCGCCGACCTGCAGCCGCACGCCGCCGCGCTGCTCGCCGCGCTCTTCGCCGCGCTCGGCCAGGCGCACGACCCGCAGGACCACAACGAGTACGTCATGAAAGGTGAGCCGAGCTACATTACGTCACATCCTTTTATCCCCGAAAGGCCTCACTACATTACATCACATCCTTTTATCCCCGAAAGGCCTCACTGCATTACATCACATCCTTTTATCCCCGAAAGGCCTCACTACATTACATCACATCCTTTTATCCCCGAAAGGCCTCACTACATTACATCACATCCTTTTATCCCCGAAAGGCCTCACTACATTATATCACATCCTTTTATCCCCGAAAGGCCTCACTACATTACATCACATCCTTTTATCCCCGAAAGGCCTCACTACATTACATCATATCCTTTTATCCCCGAAAGGCCTCACTACATTACATCACATCCTTTTATCCCCGAAAGGCCTCACTACATTACATCACATCCTTTTATCCCCGAAAGGCCTCACTACATTACATCACATCCTTTTATCCCCGAAAGGCCTCACTACATTACATCACATTCTTTTATCCCCGAAAGGCCTCACTACATTACATCACATCCTTTTATCCCCGAAAGGCCTCACAACATTACATCACATCCTTTTATCCCCGAAAGGCCTCACAACATTACATCACATTCTTTTATCCCCGAAAGGCCTCACTACATTATATCACATCCTTTTATCCCCGAAAGGCCTCACTACATTACATCACATTCTTTAATTCCCGAAAGGCCTCACTACATTACATCACATTCTTTTATCCCCGAAAGGCCTCACTACATTACATCACATCCTTTTATCCCCGAAAGGCCTCACTACACTACATCACATCATTGTTGAAAATGTTGTATATCTCAGAAACTAGCGACTTTCAGCTATTTTTGTAGGAAATTAGTTGTATTATTACCTCCCGAGAGTGAGGAATACGTCGAGGTACAAGTCACCCTGTATAATAAGGGTAGTTTCTTAAATTTTATTTTAATGACCGTCTGGTACATTTATTTAAAACTTTAGACACGTATTTTTTCTTTTCTCGCAAAATTAAATACTTTCGACGATATATTAAACTGTCAAACACCAAGCGGTCACCGGTGACCGCAACCTATTGTTCTTTAATTGTGTCTATAAATACGGCACTCGACGAGTTAATTTGAAATATCGTGTGACGTCACAGTGTGCCACATTTTGTAGCACGTTATGACGGGACAACCTCCCACTCCTAAACTTTACGCCATTTTATCTAAGTATTGCAACTTAATATGAGAAAATAAAAAGATACGTGTCTAATATGTTTTCATTATCTAATTGACGGACTAATTAGATTTTTAATTTTGATACCCTGGAAACTACCCAATCCTTACTATCTTTACTAATCCTTACTTCCTTACTAATATTACAAATCTGAAAGTGAGTTTGTTTGTTTGTTCCACCTTCACGCCGTAATTACTCAACCGATTGCTTTGAATTTTTGCAGACGTAAAGTTAGAAGTCCGGATTAAATAATAGGGTACTTTTAACCCGGAAAAAATTGATATTCTCGAGGAAAAACCAAAGTATTTGTATAGATGGCGCTGTGTGTATTGGTATATGTCACATAGGCTACTTTTTAGTTTTTTGAGACGCGAGCGAAGCCGCGGGTAAAAGCTAGTGAGAAAATAAAAAGATACGTGTCTAATATGTTTTCATTATCTAATTGACGGACTAATTAGATTTTTAATTTTGAAACCCTGGAAACTACCCAATATAGTTTATCTCACGATAGTTATTGTAAATACAAAATCGTTACTAATTCGTATTATATTTTACTTTGCAGCTATTCTACGTACGTTATCGTGTCTCCAAGATGGTTGCCTGACGTACTTGGGTGATGCTTTGCCGAAGCTCGCCCATATGTTGTCTGTAGTCGCCAAGAACCCGTGCAAGCCACATTTCAACCACTACCTCTTTGAAACTCTGTCACTCGCCGTGTCGTAAGTACCTTTTTTATTTTACACTAACTACTTCCGCGCAGTTTCACACGCTCTGCTCAGCTCCTATTGGTCGTAGCGTGATGTTTTATAGCCTATAGCCATCCTCGATAAATGCGCTATCCAACACAAAAAGACTTATTCAAATCAGACTTGTAGTTACGGAGATTAGCGCGTTCAAACAAACAAAAATACAAAGTCTTCCGCTTGATAATGCATATAAGATTATATTAATTTGAAACTACTGCTCTCCTCGTTGGTCGAGTGATCGCAAGTGCGACAAGTACCAAGGGGTGTCGGGTTCGATTCCCGGGTCGTGCAAAGTATTATTGAACGTTTTAAAAAAATCTCAGTAGTAGCACGGAGTCTGGAATTGTGCCCGGTAGGTATATGGAAATAGTTACGTTAAAATATCGAAATAATTTAATTTGAATGTGTAAACTGCAAATGTTTAAACGACTTTAAAAAGGTGGCTGACAGTTTGAACCGTGTGTTTGTATGTTTGTCGGCGATTTTCTCAGGACTGACTGAACCGATATTGATGTGGTTGTGAATAAATATGTTGAAATTAAAATTTTTATTTGCAGGTTGGTGACAAAATCGAATCCCAGCGCCATATCAGCGTTCGAAGACGCTCTGTTCCCGATATTCCAAGAGATTCTACAGAACGATGTTCAAGGTACGAACAAAAGTCTATGAGTACCGTTTTTTGGTCGCCAGATGGCACTGGTATACCGTGGGTTCTTTTACAAGGTTTGCCTAACGTGAGGTTCTGTTTGCCCAATGGAGAATGTATAATATCTTATTAGATGTTCAGTTTTGACGTGACAACGTCTTATAAATTGGTTTGCCGGGTGACACTTCAAGAAACTGCGTTACGCTCCGCTCACGTTATGCGCTCACAATGAGAGCGAGTGAGAGGCACGCGTCCCTTCCACTCGGGCATGGTTAGCCCGCCTAAGAGCGAGAGAGACAGACATAAAAAGTGAAAGGCACGCGTCCCTTCCACTTGAGCACAGTTAGCCCGCCTAAGAGCGAGAGAGAGAGAGTGAGAGAGATATTTCATCCTTCTTCCTACTATACGAATGAATATTCACATTAAAATTATTTTACCACTCAAAGTCGTTGTCACGTAAAACTTTCGCCCGTATACCGACTTTACAGGCAACCAATGTTTTTGACATCTATATTGATTAGCTAATCTAGACCTTACCACTACAGTTGTGTCGCCTGGTGAAAACTACAATAAATTTAATAACGATTCTATTGCTTATGATCCGATTACTCAAACGCTACTAAATTTTAAGTCGCGTTTAAGTGTAGTTCTGATATAACATAACATCACGCCTTTCATCAAGACAGGGCAATGTAATGTAATGAGGGTGAGCCTATTGCCATCGAACCTGAGATCCTTTGTTCAGTAGTCGCACTTGCAACCACTCGGCTAACGACTGGGCAAGAGGTCTTGAGTTGGATTCCCGGGTCGAGCATAGTACTACTGGGTTTTTCAAAAATTCTTAGTGGTAGCACGGATTCTGAAATTGTGCCCGGTATGTGGCAATAGGCTCACCCCCTATTACATGGGACTCATAACATAAATAGTGAAAAGTGGGTGTTACATTGTACAGTGGCATTGAGCGCCGTAATGTGCACGTCTGCCTACCTCGGTGTGAAGTTGTGTTATGTTTTATATTTGACTAGCTTCTGCCCGCGACTTCGTACGCGTAATTCCATTTGTTCCCGTCCCCGTTCATGATTTTCGGTAAAAAAAAAAAATGTTGGTTAAAAAGTATCTATCTATCTATTTCTTGCAATTGTATACAATGGCGGACTTCCGTATCAAGTACCAAGTATCCTATGTCGGTCTCCTGGCTCTAAGCTACCTCCCTACCAATTTTCAGTCAAATCTATTCTGCCGTTCTTGAGTTATAAGTGGTGTAACTAACACGACTTTCTTTTATATAGATAGATTGAGTCATGTGTACCGTTTTGTTGCAGAGTTCATGCCGTACGTGTTCCAGATGTTGTCCCTGCTGCTGGAGCTGCGCGGGGCGGGCGGGGCGGGCGGCGCGGGGGGCGGTGCGGGCGGCGCGGGCGGCGAGGCGTACGGCGCGCTGCTGCCGTGCGTGGTGTCGCCGGCGCTGTGGGAGCGCGCCGCCAACGTGCGCCCGCTAGTGCGGCTCCTGTGTGCCTTCGTCGCGCACCGCACGCAACTCGTGCTCGACTCCGGACGACTTGTGAGTACACAAACATGGTGTCGCGGACAACCTAACGGGTTACCGGGGCTCCGGCTCGACCTGCAGGAGAAGGAACGGGGTGGTTTTAGTCAGTAAGAGTCTGACACTCCCGCCTCACCCAGGCGGGCTTAAAAAAAAACACAAACATGTTTTTATTTTAACAACGCTATGTATAATCTCCTGGATTCCCGCATCCTGGGGACGACGGGGGTGTGTGCTGGACCACCGCTGTGTTCTTCGTTTGCCTATGTTGCCTCTGGCCGTGACCGAGATGCCCTTGCAGATTCACCGCACCACACATTTATAGACGACTGTTTTACCTGTATCTATGTCGGCGATGCTACCCTTTACCTACGTTTTATTTTATAATTATTATAATATATGTTATGTTTTATCCCCGAAGTAGTAAACAGAGTTGTACATTACGGCATTTAGTGCCAAAAGTGGGTGGTACAATGTAACAATATAATACAATACAACGAGCGTCTCTCGTCATCAAACGTCAAAGTTTGGCGAGATTAGATATAAGGCCATACCTTTGTAAAATTGAAAGGAATAAATTTGTTTAATAAATTTGTTTAAAAAAACACCACACCGGCCGTCGCACTTGCGACCATTTGCCCAACGAGGCTCGCTAACCCGGCAAATTTCGTCCTTCCTAAATTTTTTTCTCACCTTTTAAGCCATCACTACGTTTCCACAAACATTTCAAGCCCAACATTAGCCAAATCAGTTCAGTCGAGTTTTAGCGAAACTAACGAACGAAAATTAAACTCAAACTATCAAACTCAAAAGCATTTATTTCAATTAAACCTTAATTTGGTACTTTTGAAACGTCAATAAATATGAAATAAATAATAGTCTGTCAGTCTGTCCGTCAGTGAAGCTAGGTGCTCGTTCCAAAATGTCGATTCGAGTGGAGAAGAACGAGCAAGAAACTTCATTCGTTAGTCTTTTAAAAAAAAGTCTGTTTTACATTGCTCTGATACATATTCCAATATTGTACACACATGTGAGAATAATGTAAAGACATACCTGACGCAACATACAAATAACAGAACGTACTAAAAAAAAAAAATTTATTAGGTAAATATATTTTTACAAAGTAATAGTATTTGTTAATGTTTTATTTACAGAATGCCATGCTAGGCGTGTTCCAGAAACTGATCGCTTCGAAAACCAACGATCACGAAGGATTCTACCTCATTCAGACCATGCTGTATAAATTCGGAAAGTAAGTGTCAAACATACTTAGGAGCATATTTTATTATCATAATCAACTTTATCCATACATATAATAAAATTGTAGGAAAGTGAAAACTGTACATCGAATATTTTTTTAAAAGAATGCTTGAGGCGTGATCTACAATCCGTATCAAAGCCAAAAAATATGGTTTTTTGAATATTCGTCTGCTTGTCATGGACATACATACAGACAAACGTCTGTATGTATGTCCGGGTTAAACTCAAAAAGTACTGTATGGATTTACTTCAAATATTGCATGAATATTACTAACAGGTCAGTTCAATATATAGGCTACATATTATCACGCTATCATCTACGGAGAAAGAGCTGTGAATCATTATTCCACGCGAAGTCGCGGGCACAGCTAGTTATAAACTAATCTTAAATAAAATGAGGAAATTGAAGTCAGTTTTTTTTAATTCAGTTATTTTTGTTTGGTCCAGTGACGTGATGGGTCAGTACGCGAAGCAAATTATGACGCTGCTATTCCAACGTCTGTCTTCATCAAAGACTACGAAGTATGTGCGCGGTCTGATCGCGTTCCTCGGCTTCTACGCGGTGCACTTCGGCGCAGACCCATTGATCGATCTCATCGAGTCCGTTCAGACTGGGTAAGACTTTTTGTATTATTACAAGCTTATGTTTTATGAAACATTACATAACATCACGCCCTTTATCCTCAAAGGGGTAGGCAGAGGTGCACATTATACCACTGTACCATGTAACACCCACTTTTCACTATTTATGTTATGAGTCCCATGTAATAGGGGGTGAGCCTATTGACATATACCGGGCACAGTTACAGACTCCGTGCTACTACTGAGAATTTTTTTAAAACCCAGTAATACTTTGCCCGACCCGGGAATCGAACCCAAGACCCCTTGCTCGGCAGTCGCAATTGCGACCACTCGGCCAACGAGGCAGCATGTTTTATGAAGCTTGCTGTAATATTATTACAAGTTATAATTTACTGTTTTTTCTGGTATCTACACAATTTGATTATATCTACAACTAGTAGGTTCAAATATAATACATAACATAACATCACACCTTTTCCCCGGAGGGGTAGATTACATTACGGCACTTAATGCCACTGTGCAATGTAACGCCCATTTTTCACTATTTATGTTATGAGTTCCATGTAATAGGGGTGAGCCTTTTGCCATATACCGGACTCCGTGCTCAGATTTTTTGAAACCCAGTAATACTTTTCCCGACGCGGGAATCCTATTCGAGATCCCTTGCCCAGTCGTTGGTCGAGTGGTTGCAAGTGCGACTGCCGAGCAAAGGACCTCAGGTTCGACTTATAACATAAATAGTGGAAAGTGGTATTAAGCATCGTGATGTGCACTACTGGCTTCGGGGATAAAACGCGTTATATAATGATGATGTTATGTAAACAATAACACCCAACATATAGGAGAAAGTCCTAACATGGGGCAAAACAAAGGTAACGCACTTGTAACGCGTTGGTGTTTCGAGTGTCCATGGCGGCGCCGATTGCTTACCATCGGGTGATCCGTGCGGTCGTGTACCGACTCATGCTATACCCGTCCCCAGCATGTTCCGCATGTACGTGGAGCGCGTGCTGGTGCCGGACCTGCAGCGCGTGGGCGGCGCGCTGGAGCGGCGCGCGGCCGCGGCCGGCTGCGTGCGTCTGCTGGCCCACTCGCGCCGCATGCTGCAGCACGACCTCGCGCCGCTCTGGACGCCGCTACTGCAGGTACACTGGTGGAATATCTATCAGACCAATGTAAAACACACTGTGTTTGCTCGTTCTTCTCCCCTCGAATCGACATTTTGGAACTAGCGCCTAGCTTCACTGACGGACAGACTGACAGACTATTATTTATTTCATACTAACTTTTACCCGCGGCTTCGCTCGCGTCACGAAAGGATAAAAAGTAGCCTATGTGACATAAAACAATACACACAGCGCCATCTATATCAATAATTTCGTTTTCCCTCGAGAATATCAAATTTTTCCGGGATAAAAAGTACCCTATTATTTAATCCAGACTTCTAACTTCACATCTGCAAAAATTCAAAGCAATCGGTTTAGTAGTTACGGCGTGAAAGTGGAACAAACAAACAAACTCACTTTCCGATTTATAATATTAGTAAGGATTTGTTGACGTTTCAAAAGTACCAAATTATGGTTTAATTGAAATAAATGCCTTTGAGTTTCAGTTCGAGTTTGTATACTTCTTTTTTTTATTCTCCTTAATTTTATTATTTTAGGAGGTTTTTGTACATATGGATACGTCAACCCCATCGTACCTTAACTAATATAGTTAAATATACTCTATGTAAATAAAACGAAATCATTTACAAGGTATGACATAAATAACAGTATAGTTATGTCACACTCACCAGTTCACACAATCCCTTTGCTATCTTCGTTTAAGGATTTGAGGTCTACTTCTTACACGCATCTATCGACACACGTCACACATACGACACCGCGTCCCACTCTGATTGGTTGGTCCATTGGAACAGGCCAATCACTCGTTTCCATACCATTATACGCAAAACAAACTCCTCCTGCCTTTGTTTCAGCATTTCTTCTCAAAGTTAACTTAAGTAATGGTTACGTCATCTAGATTTTAGGAAAATATTGACGTGTAAAAGTACTCTTTCATAACCTATTTACAAAAATAAATACAATATTTCATTTACAAATTTAGAGACACAAAAACAAGATTGATTCTGTACAGAGACTGTAATCATTGTTTAACCTGAATCGAGCAATAATTACAACATATACGACTTGATTAAAAACCAGTCAATCTTCATTCTCTCACCTGCATTTGAACTAACTGTACCAACTGTATGTATATTTCAATATTTTTGGTTGTATTTCCAGGCTTTGATATCATTGTTTGAGCTGCCGACGGACGAGTCAGCTCTACCCGACGACCATTTCATCGAAGTAGATGACACGCCCGGCTACCAAGCTCAGTACGCTCAGCTTACCTGCGCTAAGGGAGCCGCCGGGGACCCCCTCTCTGGTACACACCTATTTCACCATTATAATCAAGCAATTCTCCTCTAATAATAGTTATGATCTATTTTTTTATAACTATCGTGAGACATACTAAATTAACTAAAAATCGCGGGTTACTCACGTGATTATACATGAGCAGCGTATGCGATCGCGGCGATCGTTAGGCTGCGCGATATCTAGGCTCGGCTCGAAACTAGTAGAGCTTTTCTCAGTATTTTCTCGTGGGTAACCCGCGATTTTTAGTTAATCATATGATTTATTTCGTTTCGAGATCCTAATGCACAAGCGTTGTGTCGCAAGAGCTTTCTGCCAAGCCGTGGTACTCCGGTCGAGCCGGCCCATTCTCCCACATTTACTATGCTTTCTCTACATTATTTTTATATGACGCATATTTTCCAGGTATCGAGGATCCGGTGGCATTTTTAGCGACTTCATTAGGGTCGCTGGCGAGTCGTGCCCCAGGCGTGTTGCCTCAACGCCTGGCTGCCTTAGACGAGCCTCATCGACAGGCATTGCAGCACTATCTCAACACATACAGCGTACAGATATGCTGAACTAACATATGCTAACTTGTCTACACTGAAAACGAATAATCACTCGCTAAAACTGGTTGCAAAAGTCTAAATAACATAAGACAAATGTTCACTTTCACATACACATGGCGCCCAGACCTGGAACAACAATTAGTGTAACGCGCAAAGAGTTATTCCGTGCAGAAATTAAAGCCATCGCAGCAAAACGAACTTTGAGGGCCATCAGTTGTAATCTATCTTTATTTATTATAATTATATGATCTGATTTTTTCTGATTTCTTCATCATCATCAGCCCATAAGTGGCCACAGCAAAGCAAAGGCTTCTCACATTAAGAAGGTTTGAGCATTAAACACCACACTTGCTCTAGGCGAATTGACGGTTTCAAACTTAAAACTAGAAATTATACGTCCAGTCTTCCTCACGACGTTTTTCTTTACCATAGGTCAGTGGCAAATAATCGATGAAAGTTTCAATTTAAAATAAAAAAGGTAAAATATAAGTCGAGTGATTAAAAATTCCAGTTTAGACAGGTTTTTGATATATTATGTTTAAATCAAGAACTAATGATTGATGTTAAATGTGAACTAAGACTGGTGATTATTAATGTAAGTAGATGTTTGATAGTTGATCTTTGAGGTTGCTATGAGTTGTATTCATGTTGAAAATGAGTTGTATTCATATCAAAAATGAGTTGTATTTAATTGACGTCGAAAAACATGCCTTTATAGTGTCACAGAGGCCCGATCCGCATCCTAGAAGAAATTGAATTTGTGATTATAAATATCAAAGTTTTAAATGTAAAATCTCAAGGTTCTTTACGAAAGAGACTAAAATTGCACCTTAATTGTTCTTTTACAGAATTATGAATACGATAAAATAAATTACCGTCTATTTGTAGCAGAATAAATGTAACCTTAATACACTGAAACAAAATTACTATTACACAACCTTACTTTTTATGCGAAACTTGAAGTTAATAAACCAACCAATAAACAATATCTAGATAAATTAAAGTTCTGGAAACTTAAAAAAAAAGTATAGCATTATGCCAATGAACCGTTTCAAGGCGTCTCTACACATTGGACCTATATACTGAATTGTAATTACGTTCTTTCTGTACATTTTATTTCAATAAAATATATAATCACAGTGTTCGTCCACGCCATTGTAATTCGGGAACAACAACTTATGTGTGACGGTGTGACAGTACCGCCTCTATTGACGAATGATTACAAACTGAATGAGACGCCAAAGCGCGCCAACATCCTTTGATGTGCGCATGAAAATCCGACAACATTCGGTTGGCGCCAACTACCAACATAGCGCCAAGTAGGCCTCTACTTCTTTACATTATTAGACTCATATTTCGCATAAATAAAAAAATGATGTAACCATTTTCTTTTACATAATATATTCTATCGCCGAATACACTGAAAGAGGATGTGTGAATGATAGAAAGATCGAGAATTAAATAATATTCACTCTTACTTATTCCATGCGTTGTTTTTAAATAATGCATTTGTAAACCTAATTAATAAAAGCCAAGGATCGGCGACATGTCAAACGAAGCTGGCTAATTTCACCTGTGCTTTAGTACGAGTTTGTTTTACGCTTAAAGTACTCGTAACGAGTACGCGTTCGGCGCTCAGTACCCTTAGTACCAGTTTGTTTTACGTTTAAAGTATTCGAAACGAGTACGCGTTCGGAACTCTGATTGGCCGGCGCCAATGAACCAACCAATCAGAGCGTCGAACGCGTACTCGTTACGATTACTTTAAACGTAAGACAAACTTGTACTAAGGCCTCTGATTGGTTGCTTCATTAGCGCCGGCCAATCAGATTGCGTCGCGTACTCGTAAGGCCTCTGACATATATTTCGACAACGCACGACTATGTCCACAGCGAGTGATGTGGTCAGACATGTCGACCAGTCCAACAACGTTCCGCTACTTCACCCAACGTCTCTGGCGCCACGTGTCGCAGGACATTTGTGCCCCAATCTATCCTTGACTTTAGCTTCAATAGTAATCATCTAATTATATTAAGTAAGCTTGTGTTACTAACGTAAGTTATGTTCTTAAACTCTATAACAAAAAATACATCTATATAAATTAAAATGAATTTCCGTTCGTTACTCTCGCTAAAACTCGTAAACGGCTGAACTGATTTGGTTAATTTTGGTATTGAAATGTTCGTGGAAGTTTAGGGAAGGGTTAGAAGTTAGGCTGAGAAGGTTTAAAAGGTGAGAAAATAAATGTAGGCAGTACGAAGTTTAATTAGGGTCGGCTAGTATAATTGTTTCATAAACTATGTTTGAAAACCCGACCTAAACCCCCTCTTTTTTGAAGTTGATTAATTAATTAATATACTAAAACGTTGTCCTAAGAGTAACAAACACTTTTTTGAAAACCGCATCAAATTGGGTTCAGCTAACCTCGAGATAATTCCGCACCAACATACATACATACATACAGGTGAAGCTGAGAACCTCCTGTTTTTGAAAGTCGGTTAATAAAATCACATCAGCCACAAGACGCGCACTACTGAACATCTTAAAGACTTCCAGATAGGCCAAATTGCTTTTAAATGACCTTGATCATGTCAATATTATTCCTGACGAAACCGCAATTTTACTATGAAAATTCCAATCTCCATCTCTAACGCTGAAATAGGTACCTAACGGCTACTAGATTTTAAGTCGCGCTTAAATGTAGTTCTGTCTCTACAAATTCTTTGCAAAGTGACAGAGATGGCACGATATTTGAGCACAATTTAAAATTTAGTAGTAACCTGTCAGTTATCGGGCGTAAATCACCAAAAGGCCGGCAACGCACTGGTACACACATCCCTGTTGTTATGGGTGTCCATGGGCAGCCTCGATTGCTTACCATCAGGTGATCCGTCTGCTCGTTAGCCTATAAAATAATACAAATGTATTCATTGTAATGTCTAACAATTGTACGAAGTTGATGTATGAATGAGTTTGAATGTGAATTGTTATGTACTATGATGTAAGATGGCGCTGAGCGCTAGTTTGTTGAAGCAGCGATAACTTATGTAAAATATAGTTTTGTACTGTTATAGTAAAGCTGTAGTGTTTGTATAATAAATGCTTCTTTTCAATTGTTGTGTTTTTATTTGCGACTAGCTTCTGCCATCGGCATCGCCCGGGTTCCCAGTGTTAAAATGTAGTCTATGTACCTATCACTTCAGGCTTCAGACCATAATCTACCTTCTTTCCACATACCGGTCGCTTTAGCTGTTTTGATGTGACTAAGTAACAAACTGAAACTGCCTCATTGGCTGTGTAGCGCCATGTTATGTTATGTTATATATATATAATCCTCAAATTCCTAATCCAGAAGGCCGGTAACGCACTTGTAACGCCTCTGGTGTTCCAGGTGTCCATGGGCGACGCCGATTACTTACCATCAGGTGATCCGTCTGCTAGTTTACCGGATTATGCCATAAAAAAAATGAAACGTCAATATAAAAAAGCTGTAAATGCTAGTTAAGTATCTGCCACCGACTGAGGGTCCAAATGGAAACTATAATCATTTTACTAAGTTTATTATAATTAAAGTTACATGATAATTCGTAAAATCTAACTAACTTGAGCGAATGCGTTCGATGTTAGAACAACACTTCTTTCTTATCTTCAAGTATTAACGTTTTATTGTGGTTACATCTAGTGGGGTGATCGATGATGTAGCGATTCGCAGCTGGGCACAAGGCGGCGACAAGAGGAGACGACTCAGCAGTTCGAATGTTGCAATACTCCGTAGAACCTTCGTTGCATCAAAGTAGGTGTAATGTCCTGATCCAGCAGATCTGGGTCTCGTGACACTGCGTTGGTCACGGGTTTTTGTATTGTTTCCAAAGTGTGAGCGTTTATTTCTTGACTAGCTTTTACCCGCGGCTTCGCTCGCGTCACAAAAGGATAAAAAGTAGCCTATGTGACATTTACCAATAAACACAACGCCATCTATACCAATAATTTCATTTTCCCTCGAGAATATCAAATTTTTCCGGGATAAAAAGTACCCTATTACTTAATCCAGACTTCTAACTTCACGTCTGCAAAATTTCAAAGCAATCGGTTTAGTAGTTACGGCGTGAAAGCGGAACAAACAAACTCACTTTCCGGTCTAGTACTTTTCATCATCGTACCACAAGAATATCGGCGAAGCGTTACCTGTTCATGGTAAATAGAGATGGGCACTGGGAAAAAACCCAAAGGGAAAAAACCCAGATTTTTTCCCATTTGGGAAAAAACCCGGTTTTTATGTGGGAAAAAACCCAATAGGCGGGTATTTTCATTTATAATGATCTTATTCTATTTTTATTTTCAAAACTAAAGAAATAGGTACTTTGTGATGCACATATACGTTCACTCAAAAAAGTATTGCCGTATTGGGAATGGATGATTTGTTTGGTTCCAAATTAAAATTTTTGTTTTTATGTACCTAGTTGTTAGATTGGCATAGAGATGGGCACTGGGAAAAAACCCAAAGGGAAAAAACCCAGATTTTTTCCCATTTGGGAAAAAACCCGGTTTTTATGTGGGAAAAAACCCAATAGGCGGGTATTTTCATTTATAATGATCTTATTCTATTTTTATTTTCAAAACTAAAGAAATAGGTACTTTGTGATGCACATATACGTTCACTCAAAAAAGTATTGCCGTATTGGGAATGGATGATTTGTTTGGTTCCAAATTAAAATTTTTGTTTTTATGTACCTAGTTGTTAGATTGGCACAACTGTTTTCCATTTTGGCGCGGAATTTGAGTTGCATCTGTTATTTATATTAAATACAGTGCTGGTTCAGAAATATCATATATAATGTGTATTGTGAATATTTGTATTTGTATAAGGCACTAGCTGTTGTCTGTTATTTGAAACGTTAAAATGTGTAGTCTGTTTCAAGAACTAAAACGTAACCAGCATTTTTATTATAACACCCTAAAGACGTCTTCTTGTTTTATAATACGTTTTTACTGCGCTCTGTGATGAAATGTTAACAGCAGAAAAAATACCTATTAAACTTTAAAGAATGTTTGTCTAAAAAATGTAATAAAACAATGAGAGATACTCTCACTAACAATCATTTATTATACTTTACAAAAGATACAAACCTATAAATTTACCGATAAATTTCGTTCGTAAAAAAAGTAGGTATCAAATTCCGTAAGAGTAGCAGTTGTTGTCAATTCAAAGGAAATCATTAGGTAACCAAAAGTCCTCCATACAAAATCCAAGTCGTCAATTAAACTAACAAATTAACATGAGTGCGCACAGTATGAAGCCGAAACAACGTGTGAGATAGATAGATCATGAACGCGCTCGCCCCTCTACTACCTGCTTCCCTGCCCCTCTACCCGCACACGTATTTTCGGGTTACCTGTCGCTAAGAGCGGAGGATCACACACAAACAGACAGGATTTTTGTTTAATTTTATTTTATTTCATTTGATAGTAGGTACCTAAGGATATTAAGAACGTTATTACTGCAATTTGAACACAAACAAAGTTAGATTAGCTCTAACTTGTAGTAATAGTTCTTAAATAGTACGTACTATATGATATGTACATAATCTACACATTACTTATTTGTTACATGTGTTAAATATGAAAAAACCCGAATATTTTCCCATTCGGGAATTTTCCCCGGGTTTTTTCCCGGTTTTTTCCCATATTCGGGTTTTTTCCGGGTAAAATCCCATCTCTAATGGTAAATGTCCCACCCACACGCACGAAGCGCTTCGCAGCAAGCTTCCTTGTGCATACTGCTAAGGAGTGGAATTCTTTGCCATTCTGTATTTCCTGAAGGGTGAATAACCTGGGTGTCTTCCAGGCCCGAGTTAATAGGTTGCTTATGGGCAGGCGTGCTCTATCGTAGGCCGCATCATTGCTGACCACCAGGCGAGATAGTGGTCAAATGTCGGCCTAATAATGTTAAAAAAAATATTTTTTATTAATTCTTTTTATTTATTTATAAACTATGTACATACTACTATCATAACAGGAAATAATGCCTAATGCAATAGTGTATGCCAATATTAATAAAATTAAATTACAAGTCTATTTTACGTACTACAACATTTATAACTAAATATGGTATATTTTTGTAACCCTATAATTTTATGAACTGTTTTTACAATATCGCTGTTTTCTTCTACTCTTATAATATCTTCTGATTCACTTCGTTGCGGGAACCAAGACAGTTATTCATGTCCCTGGGACGCGCCGGACTTCAGTGTCCCGGTGTTTTCATGGTTGTATCTACTGTATGTAGACTGGCTTACAGGAGTTGCAGCGGTTTTGGGAGGATGTGGCGGGCTTGTCCCAATTAAAATAAATATAGCTGTTCTTTGCTACTCATTGTTTCATTTGTAGAAGTACTTTTTAAGATTTGCTTTTGGCATCCGTATGTTACGGGAAAGTTTCGAGGATATTTGTTTGGAACTGTTTCACTCTAAAACTACTGAACACATCTTAATGCATCACATTGCAGGTTTTTCCGCGTAACAGTGGCCTAACTGAAGCTAGTTTGGTATAAATTTTGATTAAAGAAAGTACCCAATCTTATATCTTATCTTATACTATTATATAAAGCGGAAGTTTGTTTTTTGTTTGTTTGAATGCGCTCTCATTGAATAATTATGTTTGTGTTGGATAGTGCATTTATCGAGGATGGCTATAGGCTATAAAACATCACGCTACGACCAATAGGAGCTGAGCAGAGCATGTGAAACCGCGCGGAAGTAGCTAGTTATGGATAAAATTAAACACAAAAGTACATTCCACAAATTTTTATTTAAAAAGCAATATGCCACAAATATTTTTGCGAAACCCATTCTATTAGGTGAACTCATGATCACATTACACATGTCGGTAACTAGTTTAGAGAAATACATTTTGAGTAAACAACTTTACATCTACAAAATATGCAAAAACACCGTGAATTTATTTACATAATTAAAAAGTTGCGCAAATCAATTAAAGGTTAGTAAGTAAGCAAAAACAATATTTAGACATTAACAAAGAAATCCGCGTAAGAAGCGACACCACATTAAATTTAAACATTATACAAATACAATATAAATTTAATTTTGCAACGATCACATCGCTACATAAGAAGAAAAGAAAAAAAACCGTTACAATTTATACAAATCAAAATGTTACAATGACCCCAAAGATTTTGAATTTAATGAATGGTTATTGAAATGCAAAAATTTTCTACATTTTACAATTTAAACGCTAACACACACACAAGTACAGTTCAAGTACGGTTGTAAGAGAAACCAGAGGTTCTTATCGAGGGAGCAGGCGAGTATTCAAAGAAATTTGAACTTTAGCACAAATACACAGGACAGTTATTTTATTGCTATAGCGAATACTGTCGCAGCCTGCTACAAGAACCTGCGGCTTGTCTTGTCATAATATTGTAATGACGGGGTATAATTATTAAAAATCTATTTTATTTAGTCCATCAGCTCGGTCATGAAAAAATATTAGACACGTATTTTTTTATTATGTCGCATAAGAAAACAATACTTAGATAAATAGAATCAAAGTTTTGCTAGCTACGTAATATCCGAGTATAAAACGCACCTAGAAGTGACGTCACGCGACATTTCAAATCAATATATCGTCGAAAGTATTTGTTTTCGTATGAAAATAAAAAATACGTGTCTAATGTTTTAAAACAGTCTACCAGGCGGACATAAAAATAAAAATTAGTCATCTACCCTATTGTAATGAGGCCGTGGTCGAGCTTATGTAGTCACATAATTGTCTATGAATAAAAAAAAATAAAGAATGGATGTAATATTTGCTATCTGTCTCGGGATAGTGTGTGCAGTGGGTGTGTGTGTGGGAGGTCTGTGAGAGTGTCCGAGCGTCACTTGAGCGCGCACTCCACGAAGACTGCGCGGCACGGTGACGCGGCTCGGCTGGCCGGGCGACTGGTACCCAGGGCCGGGGACTCCACCGCGCGACCCGCCGCGAACTGAGACGCGCTCAGCGGCCGCAACTCCTTCAGAATGCACCTGTAAAATAAAATATTTTTTATTAACTCATACTAGACATTATAATTGTATGATTTGTTAGTTTTAATTCTATTCTCCACTTTTAATTATTGTTCTACTTATTTATGTTCGAATTAAATTATTCATTTTGGTTGGATACACAAGTTATCGAGGAAAATTATAGGCTATAAAACATTACGCTACGGTCAACAGGAGCTGAGAAACGAGCGAATACGCGCGGGAGTAGTAATATATAAAACTTACGCAAGTCTAGCATCGACGACAGGCCGCACGGTGGGTACGGGGAACCCGTTGAAAGGAGAGGCGACGGGCAGAGTGTAGGCGCCCATGTCGCGGAATATGAGCCAGTCGCCGATGGCCAGGCTGGGCAGGCGAGTCGCGGGCAGTACGCAGTCCAGTCCGTCACACGTCGGGCCCCAAACTGAACACGGAGCCGGCACTGAGCCGTTGTCCTGCGAAACAAGTATAATTAAATGAAAAAACTACGTCAAAATCAACAAACATGCTTTTCGAAGCTAGTTAAAAATGGAAAAAGCATTTAAGACATCAATAATAATCATTAATACTTCATTTTAATTTCATTAACACATTAAAACAGTTTTCCCTATTAGCCTCATAGGAAACCGCCGTTGTATTAGGTTACTCCTTTAGTATTACGGGTGTCTATGAGTGATCCGTCTGCTCGTTCAATCCCGCAGCCGGCCAATGTCAGTAAAAATGGATTATTTTGATGATGACGATTAACAAGTACGCTTACATTGAGTGGTTCAGCCACTACGTGTTGGTGGTCGTAGAGCACGCAGTTGAAGGAGCCGTACACGCCGTCGTTGATGAAGTACATCGTGTGGGTCTCATCCGCGCACTCCTTCGACGTCACCTGCGGACAAACCATACACTTACAGCATTCATTCTATAATCACATCAAGTCTTTTATCCCAAAAGGGTTAAGCAGAGTACTTGCCAACTAGTCAAATACAATACTTTTTTCGAACTGTCAAAAACGACATTCTCTATGAGATTGTGTTTTTTTTTTTAAACGTTGCCCCACACTTTTTTTTTTTTTTTTTTAAGGGGGGAAAATCATCGAATGACTGCTCCCGCCTGGGTGAGGCGGAAGGGAGTGTCAGACTCTTACTGACTAAAAACCACCCCGTTCCTTCTCCTGCACGTCGAGCCGGAGCCCCGGTTACCCGTTAGGTTCTCCGCGACTCCGAATCGGCATCGGCCCTATTGGGCCCCATCTGTGGTGGTCTGATGGCTCTTTGAGGCGCGCGCGGAACGCGACGCGCCGTACGCTCGGGTCTGTTTCTGGTCAGACGGGGAGCCACCCATGCTCGCCGTCCGCAGGCCCGCGCTTACGGTGGCCGGAGATCGTCCCGCGATCCCCGACGCCCGGTGTGTCCTTCGCGATGGCTGGGTTGCGAGGAGGCAGCGCTTCGCTGCCTCACGCGTCCCGCCTCCTCCTTAGCTAGCATGACTGCTTCGCAAAAGGAGGAGACGGCATCCCAGTCCCCCTCGCTCCGCATCATGGCCTGCACTAGGCCCGGACGCGAGAGGTCGCCATCGCCGATCACTTCCCTGAGGGCACGGCGGTGCTCAGCCCACGCAGGGCATTCCGCTACGGTGTGTTCCACCGTGTCCTCAAGGCGGTCCTCGCAGTGATGACACCCGGGCGTTTCCTCCCGCCCCATCAGACACAGGTACCTCCCGAAACTTCCATGTCCGGTGAGGACCTGCGTCAGGCGGTAGGTGAGGACGCCGTAGCGTCTCTCAAGCCACTCCTCAAAGAGGGGACTTACCGCTGCAATGGCAGCGAGAGGATTTTCTCCTGTGTCGTGGGTGCGTTTACAAACATACAATATCACATACACATGACACCCAGACCCGGAACAACAATCTGTGGATCACACAAAGAGTTGTTCCGTGCGGGAATCGAACCCGCGACACGTTGCGCGGCAGCCAGTTGCCCAGCCACCGCGCCAACCGACGTATTGTGACGTCACCTTTTTTTAGCGTCCAACAGGATACTTATTTCTTAAAAAATTACTGAGAAATATACTAAAATTAAGTTGGTCATAAAATCAATGAATGAAAGTGTGATTCTTTTTAAATATTTTATTGTTTTGAACAATCGAAATAATTTATTCTTGATTAAAACTGTCAAACACCGCGTGGACACCGGTGACCGCAACCTATTGTTCTTTAATTGTGTCTATAATGACGGTACTCAAAGGGTTAAGCAAGTACCCAAAATTGGTAAAGGTCTATTTTTAACAGTGGACATCTTATAGCTGATGGCCGGACATTTTCATATTAACCTTACGTTTGTGGTCATTGACACCAAATGGGTGTACCTACTCCGATGTCTGCTGTTGATGATGAATGTAGTTTACCTCTCGTTTAGCGTGCACCATGGCGGCGAGAGTGTACGCGGCGGCGGCGAAGTACCGGCCCGGCTCCGCGACCACGCGCACCGACCGCTCGGGGAAATGCTCCTCCAAAGCACTGTTTATCACTGCAGACACCTGTAATAATACAAATTCATTTTTTAATAATATTATCACTTTTTACGACTGCCTCATTGGCCGAGTGGTCGCAGTGCGACTGCCTTTAAATGCATACAAATTCACATTCACATGCCACCCAGACCGGAAACATCAATTTGTGGATCACACAAAGAGTTGCTCCGTACGGGAATCAAATCCGCTACACGTTGCGCGGCAACCGGTTGCCCACCAACCGCGCAGTTATTCAGTCCGTCATTAATAAAAATTATGAGAACTAATAATCAAATTCACATTTTTTTTGTCACATTAACAATTCTATAAATTTTATTCCAGAATTCACAAAAATCTATTAATTATTTAATTACATTTTGCCCAACCTGGGAATCAAGTATATTAGTCTTTACTCTACCATAGTCTGCTATCATTTTTATACGATATTGAAAAATAATTTTAAAAATCTTACCTCCTGGATAGAGGATTGGGTCCCTCCAGGGAATCCTCCTCCGATGTCCAGTATGCGCATGGCCTTGTGTCCGACGTTGTGCCCGACCAGGAACAGAGCCCGCGACAGTGCGATGGCTCGCGCGTACACATCCGTCTCCGAAGCGCCGCTACCCACGTGGAATGACACGCCGATCACCTGTATTTTAAATAGATTTACGAGATACTTTAAGTCAGAATGATTCCATTGAGGGAAAGAAACAGAGCTATACAAGTCGTCTAGCGAGATCTCGTTCCCTCAACGGAACCATTCTGGCTTTAAGACGCCACCTGTGCCTTTAGCCAAACGCCACTTTAGCGCTTGTCTACAGAGATTAAAAAACTAAATGCGATGACACTGACAAATGTCAAAATTTTTGTTTTTCTATTCTACATGTAGACAAGCGCTAAATGGCATTTGGCTATAGTTGCTGATGCGCAAATGTAGCATGAGGGTTTTTTGTCCAATCACCGCAGCTGTCAAATATTGAACGTCCAATAATTGTGACATTAGCTAATTCCCTATTGGACGAAAGAGAGGTTTACACTAGCACTATCAGAAGGCTCAGTATGAGTTTGTTTTTCGTTTAAAGTAATCGAAACGACACCGCGATCGGCGCTCTGATTGGCCGGCTCCAAGGAACCAACCAATCAGAACATCGAATGTGGTCTCGTAAAATGTAAAGTGGGAGTAGTGGTAGTGTGGAGTAAGAGTGTTAGTGGGAATGTACATAAATTGAAAAGTGGGTGTTATGTTGTACAGTGGCATTAAATGCCATAATGTGCACCTCTGCTTACCCTTTCGGGGATAAAAGGCGTGATGTTATGTTATTTTATTTATGCTGCATCGTGCAGAATAAAAGTATTTCTTTCTTCTTGTAAAAATACAGTACTTACGTCAAGACCGAAGACAGCGGCCAGTTTGAGGAGTCGAGGCGCCTCAGTGACGGGGTCGCAGCCGAACTTGATGCCCAACGGACATTGAGCCGATGCAGCGTCGCAGCGGATGCGGATCACGAGCCTAGAGAAAAAAATATACGTAAAGCGATGGTATTCTTGTAAAATGTACTTTAGTCCGTTACATATTGAGTGTACAATAGGGTAGACGACTAACCGCGGAATACTGAAACGTTACTCAATTTTAAGTCGTGCTCAAATATCGTGCCATCTCTGTCATTTTACAAAGAATTTGTGAAGACAGAACTATACTTAAGCACGACTTAAAATTGAGTAGCGTTTCAGTATTCCGACATAAGTCTGTAGGTAGATTATTTAAAAAACATTAGACACGTATTTTTTATTTTCTTACGGAAACGAATAGTTTCGAATATATATTGATTTGAAAGGTCGCGTGACGTCACTTCTCAGTACATTTTAAACTAAGAAATGACGTTTTAGCCCCCACTCCTTTTAATTCGTTTTATCTAAGTATTGTTTTATTATACGACAAAATAAAAAAATACGTGTCTAATATTTTTTCATTACCTAACTTACGGACTAATTATATTTTTAATTTTCATACCCTGTTATCATCCCCATTGTTTAATATCGTTTATGTATTAAAGTCATAATAATAATTATGATGACGTTTTCAATTTGTATTTAAAACATTAAAAAAAATCACCAAGCGCTAACATTTAATGTGTACTCGACACAGAAATATGACTTATCGTGATCTTCATTTCCAAACACATTAAGGTTGACAATTGCGTAAACTAAACATAAAATCGATAGTACCGATAACGGCTTCAATCTTTGAATGAGTTTTAACGATTTATTGTAAGTACTTGAAATGACAACCTACTCCAATCTATAGATTATTTCATTGAATATTCGACTTTATAATCAAAACAGTAAAAGTTTAAATCAAATAAATAAATTCAACAGAGAAGAGAAGGTTGGCCTGCTACCGTCTGTGTTCATAAAATACAGTTTTAATGAGATCTATTCTACCAATCAAGTCTTTGACATCTACAGTTGTAGGAAGAATGGATAAGATTCTATGGGCATCGCTTTCATTAGTCTAGAAACAAACATAGAACTATTATAATATATTTTTTTCAATCATAATTTTTTTTTAATCTTATCCCTGTAAAATATTGTAGCCAAAACTATTGTTGATATACTGTATTAAGTGCTTAAGAATAAAATAAAATTATTATACTTATAAATTATTATTATTATTATAGAACTAAAAGAATGACAGTTATTCACGCGGCCATACAAAATTGTAATATACTGCAGGCTCCTGGCCCATTCGGTGTTGTCCATTATATTGCCCATTAACGATTTTAATCGATATATTTATTCTCTTTTGACCTAAACAGACAAGGCAGATTATTTTTAAATGGGCCCTCCCGCCGCTGCTTCCCAAAACCGGTGGAACTTCTGTACTGTACTGTTCTGTACTGTACTGAACTAAAGAGACTGTACAACTGGTAGGAGACCAGTCGCCGAGCACAATGGAAATTTGACTACGAGACATGTTAAAAAAAAACATTTAAAAAGTTATAAATAGTTTGAATACTTACTGTGCGTGAGGCATATATTGTTTGATCTTCATGAGCTCGGTCTCCGAGTCGAAAGTCATCACGTCGACGCCGACGGCGGACGCGAAACGGATGTGCGACGCCATCTTAGCCGGGTTCGCGAATATAATGCGGCTGGAACAAATTACTATATTATTAATCTGCAATATACAGTAGTTGAATTAGAAGTCTACTCAGGAAATAACTTCACCTAACCCAATTAAGTAATCATTGCAATGATAAATCTTTACACAGAAGTTTTTACGCGGGGCCCGCTATTTTCTTTTTAAAACATAAGCCAGTAAACGCCCATGGACACCCGAAACACCAAGGCATTACAAGTACGTTACCGGCCTTTTGGGAATTAGGAATTTGAGGATTGTGAAGGATTCGGGGATTCGGGAGACTAGGGAGGGGGGGTTTGATTGAGCATCCGGTAACCTCACTACTCTTGCTATGTGTTAATCCGGTATTGGGAAATATTTCAAGATGTATCCCCGAATAATGTAATTAAAATTTCATTATGTATATCAATAAATAAATACTTACTCAGGCGCTACTCCAATGGAGGTGACGAGTTCGATCTCGGCTTTGGACGCGCAGTCGAATCCAGTGCCGAGAGCAGCCAGTGTGCTCACTAGGAGCTTGTCGTCGTTGCATTTCACCGCTAAAAGGAAATATAATTAATAAGACTTAAAAATAACTGATATTATATCTTAGAAAAGAGGTAAAAATACATAATGAATGAGTATTCATTGTACATCACTGCGTAGTATAAAACAAAGTCGCTTTCCGCCGTCTCTCTGTCCCTATGTATGCTTAGATCTTTAAAACAACGCAACGGATTTTGATGCGGTTTTTTTTAATAGATAAGAGTGATTCTTAAGGAACAATACATGCATATTGTACCCGTGCGAAGCCGGGGCGGGTCGCTAGTTATGTTTAAAAATTAAACAGATAGATATTTTACAGTGCCTAGTTACAATAACCATGAATAAATTCTCACCATAGAACGGCTCGACGCGCGGCATGAGTTCCTTCCAGCGGTGGTACCTGGCCACCACCTCGCCGAGGTCCATCACGTAGAAGGGATCCTCCTGGGTGCCAGACTCCACGATCTCACGGATCAGGTCGGTCGGAGACCAAGGCCCGTCCATCACAGTAATAAGCTGTTCTTCTTCCACGACCTTCATTTTGGCTGGGATTTTGAGCCGTATGCGGTTTACTTTAAGGTTGACTTTGGAGCCGACTTAGCCCCGGCAGTGCCGGAGCGTGGGGTCGGCTATGCTTTGCTTGCCGTTCCGGGCCGGAGGGGTCGGTGTCAGGTGTTCGAGCCGGGTTGTGGTGGCCCACTAGCGCTAGTCCACAAGTGTCAGCTGAAACAATACAGACATATTCTAATACTGTAGTCAAATAACACGAAAGCTTTCATTCAGTGTGTATCAGATAAAACATCTGTATATATTTTTTTAAGGGGGGAAAATCATCGAATGCCTGAGGCGGAAGGGAGTGTCAGACTCTTACTGACTAAAAACCACTCCGTTCCTAATCCTGCCTTTCGAGCCGGAGTCCCGGCCACCCGTTAATCCTCCGCTGATCAAAGCGATATTTTTAGCTTCCTATGTCAAGTTAATATAAATGTGAGTAGTTAGTAATTTGTTTTATATCTAATAACTATCGTGAGACATACCAAATTAACTAAAAATCGCGGGTTACTCACGTGAATATACTGAGGAAACTACTAGTTTCGAACCACAGAGGGGTTCTTCAGTAATTATCTACGTATTTGAACTTTGTAATTTCTTACATTAGCTAGAACAATACGGAAACTACGACGTATACCTAAGTTTAAAAGTACCAGGCGCTCATGAAATAGGAAGAGATTACTCACGTAATGTCTAGGTGGCGTCAGCGGGCCCGGGCTCGTAGCCAGGGCGGGTCGACGTTGAGGGCACGGCGCCAGCAGCGCGGCGCGGGGCGCGGGCGCGCGGCCTGCTGCGGCCTGCTTAGCCGCTTACGCCCGGCACTGGTAGACGCGCCGGACTCGCCCGGTGCTCCCTGGAACAAAATAAATTAATTATAAAGCATGATTCATCAATTAAGCATAACAAATACGAATCTTTTTTCAGAATCCCAATAAACGGTGAGGTTACTGTAGACGTACACTGGTTATTATTCATTGTACGGCAGTCAGTTGCATTTGCGATCGTTCAATGTATCAATCAATTAGACGGTAAAATTATGTCAAATAAGATAAGTACGCATAAATAAAATTGAATTCTAGTCGTTTTCACAATATTTGAGATTGAATTTTAAAAAAATCTTAGGTAAGTTTTTAATTAAACGCAAATGTGATAATGTTGCCAGAACAAGTACATTTTATGGCAACATCAGACGATTAGAATGTAATATTTTATCGAAATACCAATCACAGTGGGGATTTACAACGCAGTTTTTAGCTGCGACGACATAAGAATTACAAAAGTTTAATTTATCATTAAAACATTAATATTAAATACGCAAATAGTGTAACACATCTCGTAACTAGATAAACAGCTTATTGCCTGTTCATTATACAGAAATAACTATAATCCTAACTGATAAAACATTTTTATATCAATTTTATTACCTCTATACAATCTTTATATTAAAAACTTTCGTGATACATACTAATTCTGATTATGTTTTCGGCTTAATGACGTAACGGTTTGACGAGGAGCTCGACTAGTCTCAAGCCATGCTAGAGGCTCATATTCATGAGCTGCATTCCGCGACCCGCGACGCGGCGAGAGTAGCAGCGCGACAGTGAGAATCCGAAAACATAATAATTAATCTCTTTACAATCGTTCCGATTGCCCAATGAACGTCAACAGCCCCAGACAGTCCATGGCGTCTTCTACATACGCGAGTTTGCAGTTATGGCCGCGCTCGGCAGGTGATTGGATATCACACTTAGAAAGGTTCAAGATTATGAATATTATAATAGAGAGCACAAATATGTAGTCCCTTAACCGTGTTTTATGACACCCACGGATAGAGCTGGGGTGGTTACAAACCTATTCTAGTCGGTCGTCACCACACAACTTCCCTATTGCGTAGATAAAACTATCGATAGTCTTAAATGTACTAAAATTAACACGATTTACTAAATTATATGAACCGTTTCCGTCTCGCAGTTTGGACTGAGATGAGCCTTGAATAAAGTGAATTGATAAAAATTGATAACATTTAAACTGCTGATGGAGATAAGGCGGCTGGCGACAGTTATCGGCTGATTTTAAGTGCGAACGATGACATAATCAAAGCGAAATAGATTTTTGTGATGTGAAAAAGTAACTAACTCTGCGGTGTATTAAGAAGAAAGACGGCAGAGTCAGAACCTATTTGTTACCACCTTTATTTATGCTATGGATGTCATAAATGCAGAATAGGGCCGATGTGTAAACGGGAGCTGCGGACATCCTACAGCGTTTTTTTTAAGTGGTTAAAATCATCGAATGACTGCTCCCGCCTCGGTGAGGCGGGAGGGAGTGTCAGACTCTTACTGACTAAAAACCCCCTCGTTCCTTCTCCTGCACGTCGAGCCGGAGCCCCGGTAACCCGTTAGGTTCTCCGCGACTCCTACAGTGTTACCAGGGCTCCAGCTCGAAGCAAGAGTAGGAACGGGGTGGGTTTTAGTCAGTGTCTTCATTCAAGGCGGGAGAAGTCATTGGATGTATTAATCCCCTCAAAAATGGAAATCTACGTTTAACAGAGACCGGACAGCAACGATTTGATAATAAACCTGAATGTTTTTATAATAACTATCGTGAGACATACTGAATTAACTAAAATCACGGGTTACTCACGTGAATATACTGACAAAAGCTCTACTAGAGAAAAGCAAGTAGCAACACCGAGGCGAGCGCCAACGTAAGCCAGTGAGCTGCGCACGCTGGTCATGAGAAATAACCCCTCTGTGGTTCGAAACTAGTAGAGCTTTTCTCAGTATATTCACCTGATTAACCCGTGATTTTAGTTAATTTAATAAACCTGAACTTTAGAAACATAGTAAACTAGCCTATCGAGCCTAAACCTAGCGAGGACATTGTATATAACCCCTTTTATGGTGAGGAGGCCATATTCTTGCAGTAGAATTTAACATTTAGGATACAAATAACTTTATATGTTGTGGTGGCCCGGAGGTTTAAGAAGCCCGCTTCTCATGCATGAAGGTGAGGGTTCGAAACCTACCAACGGCAAGTACCAATGTGACTTTTTCCGAGTTATATGTACTTTCTAAGATTATTCAGACACTACTAACAAACGGTGAAGGAAAACATCGTGAGGAAACCTGGGCTTATAATTTCTAATTATAAGTTTGTAATCGCCAACCCGCATTGAGCAAGATTAATGCTCAAACCTTCTCTGTGTGAGAAGAGGCTTTGCTCAGCAGTGAGCATTTATAGGCTGTTGATGAATGAACTTTATAATCAACAAAGATACGTAAGCTGAACTAAGTCGAATTAAAAATATCAAGAGGAAAACTGAGGAGGTAAAGTTATAAATATTTTTCCTAATGTAAGAGGTTGTTTATAAAAAGTTTCAATGGTTTCAATTCAAAGTTTTCAATGGTGAAGTAAAACGTTTTTGCACTATTAATACTTCGGTGTACGTAACGTGTTATTATAGGGTGACCCGCCAGGCCAGTTCAAAAATACGAAATTATTTATGGCTAAAATTAAAAGTTTTTATTGAATATACCTAGATCGATTAAGTTTTCTGAAAGAAGTTAAGAACTAAAGTCAAAATCGATTAGAGTTTTTTATAGAGGTAGGGTAAGCCGGTAAACGAGCAGACGTACAACCTGATGGCAAGCAATCGGCGTCGCCCATGGACACCAAAGGCGTTAGAAATGTGTTACCGAAGTGCGTATCTAGAAGTTTATTATTAAAACCGTATTAATAATTATTAATATGGTTAAAAACCAAATTCAAAATCAAAGTTTTGATGTTTTATCTAACCTATATATATCGCATAGTTTAGACAAAGAATTATTTGGTTTCAGATGAATAATATGACGATTCTTGTAATACTTGTCATCGGCTTCAATTAAGCATATTGGAATCGCAAAACCGAATACTAACCATGACATTTAGGATTCGATCCATATATTCTGCAGATTTATAAAAAATATAAAATCAGTACGTAATATGTATAAGAGAACCGGCGTAATGTTACAAATCAATACAAGCAACATCGTCAAAACACCATATTTAATGCATCAGTAAATTACATTAGAAAGCCGTTGTTTCGTAATTACAGTTTCTGAAACATACTATGCGACTAAGTGCTTTCCTTTACCGTACCTAAGCATTTCTATTGAAACCTTTATGCATTATTTCTACAGTAATTCTTACCAATCAAATAGCATACATACATATGTACGTCGGTTTTTACAGTCATATTGTTTAACTTTGTTCAATTTTACACTTGCCATTTTTGGCTTTTGGTTGATTTTGGGACAAGAAAGAATATCGAAACATTTGTCAGTCACATGTCAATAGAATAATTTATTTGCAATTATTAATAACATTAACAGAAAAAGGATATCATCATCAATGAAACCTCATTGGTTTGTAATCCTTTTAAGGATGAATGATATTATTCCATGGACTTTGATTTAAAAGTTACCAAAAAAAAAGATGGATGAGCTCTATGAAAGAGAAAACATAACTAAGTGCTAAAATGGTATGTATTACACAATATTTGTTACATTCAGTTAAAATTCTAGTTTAAAAAATATTACATTACATTAACCTTATCGGTATATAAAGATTTTACTACAATCAATCAACCATCGGTCGCGTGCAAAAGTACTATAGGTAATAATCACAAGTTTCATAATAATTACCTACCTAAATACTATAGTATCAGTAATCAATAGTAATCTAATAATAAATTAATCGTAAAATTATCGCCAGACTTCCACACAGCGACAGACTTTAATAATAATCTTTACACTTCCTGCAGCCAAACGTAGTCACTAAAAATGGTGCAATTTTAGGTCTATTTTTAATCTGTATGCAATCGATGACAGATAGGATATATCATTGTCAGATCTACGTCACAGAACACACCTTTTTGAACACGTTAACTGTGAATGCATGCATTGTAATTTTATTTTGACTTACGGCCGATTTTTAAATCATCA